AATACAAGCACAACCGAATATTGTCAATCCAGCCATTGTAGCCAGCTGCCGTATAGCTAGTGGCAACAGTACTTGACTTGCACATACAGGAAAATGGGTACGGACACAGGAATCACCACCAAAACAGTAGGAAATAATAAGAAGGGATGAATCCGGTAGGAGGATCCACTCTCTTGTGTGTTGTCGTGTATCGTATAGCCTCCTCCTCCGGTTGACGACTGTTGCCATTCAATGACTCGACGATGTTCAGGCTGGTGATTGGGCTGGAGTTAACAGAGCATCCTCTTGTTTGTAGCGATCGATCGAAGCCTCTCCTCTTGTTGTCCGGAGCGACCGAAAAGGACTCGACAATGGTAGTTCGCCGGCCGTCAGCAGTAAGAGAAGAGAAAGTAAGAAATAGCTATGGTTTTCTCTTCTATTCTGACACTGAAAAAAACCGGCGACTTACCCTTGTTCTCCAACTTGGCCGTCCATGGCTGAGAACTGACTGCCATCCCATGGTCCATGGATTCAATGAGGGATGGCTTTCGAATCTGCACCGGAGACGACCGGCTTGAGTGAGGCTTGGATAACAGAGATCGATCGATTCGAATAATTAAAACAACTCACCTGTTGACGGTCAAGCTCGGATTTATCTCCTGAATACCATAGAAATCCAATGAGGGAGAGAAGTCAGCGCTGAACCTTCAATTAACACTCTTGATAATAGACTTACCTCGAATCGATTCGATCGATCGGCCGATTGGATAAAGCACTCACCATTGTTGTCGGCCAAGCTTGGATTTACCTCCTGTTTACCATAGAACTTCAATGAGGGAGAGAAGTCAGTGCTGCCCCTTCAACGATAGACTTGAGGGATGTACTAGTACTACTGTACCGGTACAGACGGTACGGCGTGTGATTGGAGGTAATTCAGTTTAGCCTTAACCTTAGTAACTTCAACGGTTCTTTTTATCCACGAATCGATCTAAATCTTTCGCAATACACATGACCGTTGATTCTGCAACTGAAGTGCGGGTACACTAATTTACACAGTAAACGCGAGCCAATCGATTTCAGAGTGCAACTGAGGGGGTAACCAAAAGGTGCGTCGTCTCATGGAGACGAAATTCTAGACTTCCTCATCAGTGCCAAAGCCGGCTTTGGGACCTCAGCTATCGATCTGTAAATGCATGCCATGGTTTGAGCTCAGGAACTCCTTGGATCCATACAACTATCCTAATTGGAACCTACAAGAATCACCAGGACCTTGAGGAGATACCTCAATTCATTTTTAATAAAATGGGAATTCATGTCCATCGGGGACAGACTCATATTTAATGTCGGAGGATTGGCCCATGGGCTCTGTATCATTGGAAAACAAGCGGATGTCGCAGTCCGTGCAAGCGTCAATCATGTCTTGGAAGAAAGTGTAGCCGTAGTCACCTGCTTCTTCCATGGGAGCAACCCACGTTGCCTCCAATTGAAAGTAGCTGGGGCGACCAATAGGGGCAGGTCCCACTGGAGTAATGAGCAACCCCCAACGAGGATCATCATGAGCATCTTTGGCTGCTTCAAAGACATGCTTGAAAAAGTTGGTAGCACTCTCATTTTTCCCAAATAAGATAAACTTGCCGAAAGACCGAAAAGTATTCTTCTTCCTTGATCGTATTAATGCTCGCTTCCGTGACGATTCCAAAGGATCCTGAGGCTCCTCCTAGAACCGCGTAGAAGAGATCGTCGTTCAATGAGGAAGTAGTTCATTTGGCCCCACCACCTCATGAGCTGAACCATCGGCAAGGACAATGCGAAACGAGTCAATGCTGAAAGCAAAGGGCTTCAGGCTTCAGGTTCCTAGCCCATACACGTGTACTCCATAGCCTCGAGTTTGCATATGTCCTCCGATACCAATTTTGGCACACTCGCCATAGCCAATCCACGTTCCTTATTCCACCAAAAAGTCCGTCATATGGCAGTGGCTCGGGGACATTGTCGCGGGGCTCACAGTCGGCGGCAGCTCCTGTGAGAAAAGAAAGGACGAGGGTAACGGACGACAACAACTTCATCGTGCTTGGCAAATGTAGAAGTACTAGCGTTTGTAGTAGTGGTAGTAGTACTTTGACCGCGCCAACGTGCCAACAGCATTGGAGTGGACTTCATTCGTTTCTACCGCTCGCTAGTGCTACGGTACGGTGTAGCATTGGTGTTATTGGCTCTAGCTCCGTGCATGGCTAACGAAAAATCCCGCGACCTTTCCTGGGGCCTCTAAAAGGTGAAGGGAAAAGTGCCTGGACATGCACAGTAGTCGGAACTGTGGCTGACTACGACTGGACGACTACAGCTACGACTATGCATTATGCATACCTATTGGACGACTACTGGAAGGCCCGGTCATGCGACTGATAGTCCCGGATCGGTCAAAGTCGCGTGGGATCGCTGAAAGTCGTTCATAAAGTCGCGTGCGAGTCGTGCGCGAGTCGCACGCGACTTTCATACGACTTTTCAAACGACTTTCCGCGATTCTACGCGATTCTGTCGCCTTGCTTATAGTAATATTGCGCGACTTTGAAAGTCGTGCGAGAAAGTCGCATACGACTTTCATGCGACTCTCATGCGACTTTACATACGACTTTTGATGCGACTTTGATGCCGTGTGCGACTTTAGGCCGATTTTTGGCGACTGCTAGTCGCATGACGGGGCCTTCCTGGACTGCTCCCTGTTTCGGTACCAGTTTGTGAAAACGAAGCATTTGTTATGCGATAGTTGAAGCTTGGGGTTCCTTTTAGGTTAGAGGAATAATCTGTTAAATCTTGACACTTCCTGTAAGCATTCTGGCGTCCATCTGAGACTTGGAATTCATTGGGTTTGACTAATCTCATGAGCTTCTCGTGACAACCGAGAACCGCAAACCGCAAACCGCGATGTGTGAGGGCGGCTCGGAACGTAACATCAGTAGTCATCAGTCCAATAAAAACAGAAGAACCACATACTAGCTAGCTAGTACTGGAAAACGCTGGTATGCACATGAAGAAGCAATCGCGGCACTAGATGCCCAAATTCCATTGCTTTGCCTGCTTGATGTCTTTGGATACAAAGGATCCTCCAAAACTCCAACCACAAAAGGGTTGCCCAGATTTTGCAACACAATACAGTAAACAGTTGAAAACAGAACCAACCAATTTATTTGATCGACGACAATGACGCTCACAACGGCCTTGAATTGCTTTTATCGCCGCGACCTCTTCCGACAGGCTCGCAAAGCGATAGCCAACCGATCACAAAAGATGCGTGATAACAAAGCTCCCAAGACAGCAGACGCCGTGTCTACCCCCAAGTCGGCAACCTCAACCAACCAGAACAGCAATACTGAAGAAGACAACATCGACCCATGGACGCTTGACATCAGCGTTGACAGTGGTCTAGTTAGGGTGGTGAGTAAAAGCGTGTACTTTTCGGATGCTTGGCTGCTTGTAATGTTTTGGCTGACTTTACGTTTGTTCCTTCATAACGACTTCTTCAAAGGGGAAACTTGGTCCATGGGTCATGGGACCTTGGTAATCAAAAGCAAGAGATCAGTTGTTGGTTGCTTGCTCGCACGTCCTTTCGACGCCGTACCGGTAGGAAGCTGCTTGCACAATTGTATACTGGCAGAAGCCGTCTGTATTCGAAATTATGGCTCCGAATCCCCTGCCATCATCATCATCATCATCATCACGGGAGAAGCATCCAACCCTGAGTACGGTATTAAAAGTTGCCACAAGGCTTTCCGCCTTCGTTCTTGCTCATTGGATAGTTGCATAACTGAATAGAGAACAACCCATTTCACCCGCTACAAGAAACTGTATACCCTCCACTTCCGGTGCTGGAATAGTGGCGGTGTTTTTCAATAGCGTTGTGACCAGCACTGGATGCGAGAGGGTTGCTTTACCGCCGTGGTTCCTTGAAAGTAAAATGTGGAATCTTCCAGCTCGATCTGCTGACACTCGTAGTAGTAAGATGTGAGACGGATCTTGTTGGGAAACCGTTGTGGAAGCAAAAATGCAATCACGGTGACGTTCCATTCGTCCACACAATGTCGTACAAACTGAACGGGAAGCTCGCGCTCTTCGGGCTTGGATCCATAGGGTGGTCCGCCGATGGCAACGACTTCGTGGTGAAGTTTGTGGCACAAAAAGTCGTTCCGTTTGGCGGTCAAAAAGTTGTGGCGATGAAACTCTATCGACACCTTGGATGCGTGGTCAGAGTACTTTGTCTGGATAAATTCATTTGTGGAATAGCTTGACCGGCATACTGCAAGGGCCCGAGGATCCAAGTCAATGGCAATGATGGTGACAGTCTGGTAAAGTTCCAGTAGATTGTCAAATAATGGGTGCTTGAGCAGCGTCCACACAACTTGACCATGACCACAGCTAGGTTCCAGTACGACCAAGTGTTTGCTGGTGTTGCTGTCGTCTGTCTTTGATGGATCTGATGTCCGATGGAAAACTTTGTCCAGTAGAAGTGTCACAAGCTACATAGCAAAGATTTTTTGTCAGCTTTTGCTCCATTGCTGGTTAACGCTTGCAAAGAGGAGAAAAGCGGTGAACACTGAAACTCACCTGGTTGGCATTTTCGTCTGTACAAAAATACTGTCCAAGGGATTGTGGTGTGGGCAATAGTTGCTCATTATTATTTGGATGTGACGATGATGTTCCTGTCTCACTTGCCGCCACCGCTGTGCAATCCTGAGGGCGGCAAAACGTTTTCCAAGCTTCCTGTAGGCTATGTACGGATTCCGCATCGAATTCGTCCGTCTCCAAAGGGAAACAAGTGTGCGTGTGGACGCACTGAAGGAACTGATCCATTTGGAGTAAATTTTTCTTCATGGATGCGTGAAAATTGTTGATGCTGTTGTTGTTGGAGTCATCCCCATCCAAACCCAATCTGCGTATGGCGTCCCCATCCAATGGTCGCCTCCATGGAGCACGGTCGCTCAGCTTTTGAAACGAACTTTTGGGGAACACTCGTAGCTTGGATTGAGGACAGCAGTGGCAAGGACATTTCTTCGTTTCGAGTACTTTGGCGACCACAAGGCTCAGAAGAATGAAATCCCGCTTGGACCTCCAATAAAAAGCCCGACCGTCAGTGATGGCGGCTCTTTTTTCTAGGATAGGTGGCGACGGCATGGATGGCATGGACGGCATGGAAACAAGCCATGCTGGAAACGAATTATTCGTCTTGGCAATGTGGACTTGTCGATACCCACAAGCAGCAATGACTGGTACCAAAGGGGAGATGTCTGGATCGTTGGAGGAGGAGGAGGTCACAGTCATTTCAACTAGCTAGCGGGGATAATAGCTGCATTCGCTAGATATAACCAACTCCCCTTTGCTGCTCACCATGCATACATGTAACGATTGTCTTGGACCTTGGACAGCGGCGCTATCTAGCTAGAATGTCTTCTCGAAGATTCGGTATAGTGTTGTGGGTTGTGGTTCCATGGTGGATGATGGATGAATGAGGTTGAGTTGGCGTTCGCTGTTGGCTGTTGGCTGCAAGTCAGCTGTTTTCGAGGAGCATTCAGACAGAAAGCTCTTTGGTTTCCTCAACAGATCTTTAAGTCTTCAAAAGATACAGGTTTGGTACCGGTACTACTCCGTACCGGTACTGGTACTACAATCGTACTCGTACACAGCTGTGGTATACTTTTATACCCGAGGTAGCACAATAATTTCTCTTGCATTTTTCATTTAGTTTTTACTATTCAAGCGATGAACTGACAAATCTTCACTGAGCTCTTGGTCCTATCAGAGTCCTTAGCATTGTCCTCTTCATGAGCTTCATTCTCATCTTACTGCCAACATGTTACGTTCCTATCCCACCGCGGGCTCTCCATGTACCGATTACTCGCGGTTCAACTGTTCATATTCCATGGAAGCCATCTTCCACGTACCCTCTTCCTCGCGCCACTTGGAATTGCCACGCATGAGAGCAAAGCTAAAAGGAGCCAAATCAGTTCCAAGGTAAAGAGTACGTTCGTAGTACAAATCCGCCGTTCCATTGGCGAGGTCAGCCGTAATGTAGGGCTGACTGATGAGTACGTGAATGTTGGCTCCTGGAAACAAATTGCCAAGCTCCGTCTCTACCCAAACGTCGCGTCCTTCGTCATAAGCAATCGTCTCTCCAGTCCACATGGTGTTGTTGAAAACAAAGTCTTCTGTAAGGTGCTCGTCCATGAAAGAACGAAACTCCGCCTCACTCTCGACACGATCTTCGGGGGTGCCCCAGGTGGTGGCACCGACAACCTTGTGCCAACCGGCCAAAGTGTTGCGAATCTCTTCATGCGCCCAAAGCAGTTCCATTTGCTCGGCTCGGTTGTTGTTGCTGTTGTTGGAGTTGCCAGCATCCTGAGATGCTTTGGGGCCTCCAAATTCATCGTAGCTTTCGGGTCCCCTAATAGACTGCTTAGCGGACGCAGAGGTACCAAGGAGACTGGTGAAAAGGATGATGGTCAAGACTAGAGAGAACTTCATGGTGTCGATATTGATAGAATATTGAGAAGATGTGCGTGTGAGAGAGTGTTTGTGGGTGAACTGCTTGGATCCGAAAGAATGGTCTCGGTGGCTGTTGGGTTTGCTTTGCTTTTTGCTTTCAAGTGGATGAAATGCAGTTTTATGATACCAAGGATCAGCCACCAAATCGGACCTGTCCTTTGTTGGTGGAAATCTTCTGGGTAATAGCAATCGAACACTCGAGAGCATCCTTGCGAGTGAACATGAAAGATCATCAGCACAAGAAGCCGCGGATGGCAAGCTGACGGGAGAGGCAAAAAAGTTTTTGAGGGCACGCATTCCTTCTTTCTACCGGTACAGCAATGTACGGTACTGGTCATTGTGCCCCAGTCTACGCACTCGTACAATTACACTTATTAAATGATACAGGGAGGTGGAGAAACAAAGCGTCATCTCTGTAAGGTTCTATACAGTATTGAAAATATTAATTTTTCTTCATCCCCCCGATCACTGAGTGCGTTTAGAAACGAGTGCGGGGGGGGGGGAGCATGCTACGCGCTACATGTTACCGGAGTTTGCTGTTGGAACAACGAAGAATGGTTTCCAAATCTCAAGGACATCAAAAGAGAAAAGAGTGCTCGATACAAAGATAGACTACTCAAAGATAGCGGTACCAAGCACAAAAGAGAAACGAGTATCGTACCGGTGCCGATATTGCTGGCACTGCATTGCTCTCAGGTCAGAGAAGCAAGCGTAATGCTTGCTTCCTTTCTTTGTTATCAGTCAGCCAGTTAGTTGTTGATTGTTCTTCAGTAGACCAACCAAAGAAGCCCTTGGAACAACTAAAATACCAACCAACCAAGCTGAAGCCCCCCAGTCCCCACGGGAGTACCACTCACACCATCTTCTCCCCAGCCAGAGCGAGGCAGATGCAGTTGTGGTGCTTGGCCGCACTTTCTGTTCCGCACCTCTTCAGCCTACGGTACCGGTAGCTCATCACCCCCACCAATCAGGATTTTCGTCTCCCGGTTGACTCTAACGGCTGCACCGTGAGTATGCTTGAGATGAAAGTGCATTGTGGGGCTGTGGCTTGCATAGACCAGGCAAAAAGAAAATCAAACATCAACCCTATCCCTACGATTGTATCATGGGCAACTGTGGGTCTCGCCATACATGCTAAGCACGTAGATTGAGCCACAACTGCTCGATAATTCGTCCGTTGATGTTCTGAAGAAGCTTCCACGGTGTGCGCCACGTCCATGCAAGTGCCAAAACTGCAATTACAGGCCCGTTCCGGATTCCGTGTGGATTAGAGGTCAGGTGCACCTTCTCAACAAAAGGCTGAAGCATTTCAGGAAGAGGAACAACCTCTCACAATTTTTGTGAAATTGGCTGACCCAGCCAATTTCCGTGACACTGGCTCGACGCGACTGTCGTTGATTGTGTCTTGCAGCGTCGTGTTTGGCACATACAATCGTGAGGATGGAAAAATGAGGTGGGGGAGAGGGCTGCGTTTGACATCATTGCCATTTCCTGATCTCTTATTGCTTGTCGTTGTTGTTGTTGTTGTTGTGGGAAGAGGATACTGTAATCAAAATGAACTGCAGGATTCGTGAGAGATACTTCAACAAGCTCGGTATCTTACCGAATGGTCCACCGCCGGCTCACACGGTGAAAAAGCGAAGATCGCCAACTGAATTACCCGGAACTGTTTGTGGTGCTTCTTCCTCCTCCAACAGACAAAGACACCAAGCGGATCAACCTCCTCCGCCGCCGCCGTCTCCAATCGTTGTGGAGAGGAGAGACGATGAACAGCCGACTCCGCGACAACCACGGTCTCCTCCGCAAGTCCAGTTCCATACTTGTGTTTCGGTGATTGAGATTCCTTCGCATCGAGACTACGACCGAGCGTCCCGACGGAACATTTGGAACAGTCCTCAAGTGCTCGAGCAAAATGTGCAACGCAACACCTACGAGTACTGGGCTGAAGGATTGGACTGGAGAAACGCAACGGAGGAGAAGGACATGATTCGCACCAGAAAGGGAAGACTGGTGCACCCAGCCACCTGGAAACTCATCCATGAAAACATTGCCAACCAGCACAAGAACAGACGAAGGGCCATGTTGCATCGACAGGCGTAGAGAGGCACTTCCACTTCCATAACCAGCGTACAGTACAGTAGTATCGAGAATGCATTCGATTCGATTTCGAGGTTCGCAATTTATTTCTTCTGAAAAACGGCACCAAGCAAGCAGGGAACACTTTTGTGAGCATTTGTAGCTATGTAGAGCTAAACTATCCATATACGTAGAGATACCTTCCATTCTTATTTGGTCTATGTATAAGTATACATTGATCTCCAGCCCCTTCAACACTTTCCTAGAACTATGATGCCTTGGACCACCTGGAGTGTTCGTTGATTGTACTGACCCTTGGTGGCTGTGGTTGATCGTGGAGCCAACATTTGAGCTACCAAAGGAATGCACAAGAGCTACTACAGGCTAGATCACACCGGTAGCCAAAAATACAGGTTCACATCTAAAAGAAGGATAATTGCTTCTTGTCAACATATGTTAGGTACGGGGTTCAAAAGCTGGGACCGGGGCATATCCTCGACAAATCTCTTGATCTGCACAATAAGCCTTGTTGGTGTTGCCTCATGTGATTTTGGCACAGTCACCGCCAACATGAATCACTCAATGCTCTTGGACACCACCAGCTCACGAACAATGTCCGGTGGTGGAAGGATATTCGCTCGCTCCCGGTTCAGAGAAAGCGTACCACTTCGAAAATAAATGCGAAACACTTCTCCAGGCTTGGCATTCTTCATCTGAGAACGGAGACTGGTCATACCTTTCAAAATCGTGTCTTCCAAATGTTGCACTCCGCGGGATCCCACTAGAGCTGTTCGCGATACCTCGTGTAAAGGCTTCATGCAAATGTTCTGTAAGTAGCCAGGACCCTTGATGCCATGGCAGAGCCGTGTGCTACCACTGCTTATCATTTGAAACATAACCTTGGTCCTCCAATGTCGAGGACTCAATGTTTTGATTTCCACGGGATATCCGTCTTGTTCATCGATGGCATCCACCTCAGCTCGAAAAAAGACGCGGTGGGTACCAACATTCATAACATGAAGATGTTCCACGGATGAAATCACATTTGTGCCGTCGTCGATGTGTCCTCGCAATGGTTTGCCAGTCATGAGACGTTCAAACTGGAAGCCTGATTCATTGTTGCCAGAAACCAGAAGCAGAGTGGACGACGGGGTGAGCCTTCACACTTGCCATTTTGAAAAGGCGGCCAAAGAAGGATTGCTTACCCTGAGCGGACAGATTCTGAATGTACTCCTTGTTCTTCACAACCAGAATGACCCGTGTGTCTGGAAGAAGAGTGGCCACGAACGGTTCCGAGGCATCACAACTTGCCAACATTTCCAACGTGGACCCTCCAAAGTAGAAATCAATATCGGCAGCAAAGTCAATGTTGCGATGGCGAGAGGCCACGTACAGGCAGGTTGCATCAATCTTTCCAAAAGGATACTTGTTTTCGTACTCGTCGGGAGGGGGGGATTGAAATGCTTTCGGTGTCTGGATTCTCGATGGGTGGACCAAAACGTCGGGTTTGCCATTCAAGTCTAAGAACTTGGTGAAGTCTTTTGCATCTGATATGCTCTCGAGAGCCTCGTAGGGAGTTCCACGAGCAGGTTTCCAAGAGAAAAATCCCTTGTCCGAGATGCATTCAAAGATGTGGAAACCAGACATGTCTAGCTCCTGTTGGAGACGTACCGGTATGGACTTGTCGTTGAATTGCTTCGTTCCATTAGATCTAGGCTTGATGAATGGATGGCATGGCGAAGCAGAAATCCCGTCGCTCTTTCGTTTCTTGGTGGTCATAGTCAACAGCAAGTACCTGGTAGAGCTCAGGCTTTGGATTGTGCGGTATCAGTTGAAGCGACCGCATCCTTGTGATCCACGAAAATTTCGCCGTCGTTGGCAGGTAGTTCCACGCTACCTGACCGTGGAAGTACAGAGCGTGACAATTCGGAAGCTTCAACCCAAAAACTATTTCCCCACCCGCCATCAAGCAAAATCAACCCAAACCAATCGAGGAAGTATCTTCGAGGTAAACTACCGGTAGACGTCATGGATCAACTCATCTATGCAGAGCATCCACTTGAACTAAAGCTGACCTTTTGATTGATCATTCATTCAAACCAAAACGCACCCCAAGCGTATCATGGTACCGGTAACGGAGCCGCGCAAAACGAACAACGTAGAATACCAGTACATGTACTGTACCGGTACCGGTGGCCACCATCAACTGATCGTCTTCACTGTGGCTAGCCAGCTACGCTGTACCTCGAGTGCTAGAAGAGGAAAAGCTTTCCCTACTTCGCCTTGTGGCCGAAAATTGGGGCCTTCTTTGTCGTGTAGAGGCTGATTGTTTCTTAAACCTTTGAAAATTTGAAGGATTTAATAACACAGATGATTCATGCGAAAGATAAACCCTCTCTTGGTTTTTACGGTTTTAACTTTCCCAAGCTGTAAAAGACAGAGCCCAGTAGTACCGTACATGCCACACCACATTCTCAATGCCTCCGCTTCCATTGGCAATACACTTCAAGGATCCCTCTGCTGGCCCCTACCTTAGTCCTCCCCTCGGTGCTTGCCTTACTTCATATATATGCTATCTCAGTGAGGTAACCACATGACTATTTGATCGGAACGCATCGTACCGGTACGGAGATTGAAGGTTGCAACAGAACCAGCAGAAGGGGTGTCATCTTTTCACAGTTCCTGTTCCGAGTTTGCCAAGCTTTCCCACTGAAGCTCAAGGGAAGAAACAGACAGAAGGATTATCCAGGTTTTGTGTGTAATACATTGGAATCCAGCAGCCATCTGGTCCTTAAGGTACTTCTTTCAGTCCCTTACAGAGAGAGGTACGCCCAGCCAGTGGCTTTCCCGAGCTGTGTTCCCAGTTCCCGTCTTTTCCGGCAACGAGCATCATGACAACTCCATCATATGTCGATGATCCCTGCAACTCCACCGTGATTGCCACGTTGGAGGATTCCAATGGCGGGGACAAGGATGGCAAGCCAAGGAGAGCAGTCCAAAGGATACCCCCTGCCACTATACCGGTATCTGCCCCCCTTCCCACCACTATTGTCACAACTCGCCCCACTCATAGGAATGGCAATGGTGGCCTCCCTGGTGGCACTCTCACTACCACTGGCAATACAAGTGTTGGCAGCAGCCCCTTGACTCAACAATATGCTTATGCTCCTCCTCCTCCCATTTTGACATTTCACGATTCCGCGAGCCTCTTGACAGCCAATACAGAGGGCTTTTCCTTGGCCAACAGTGAACCCTTCTCCAGCCAAGACTTTTACAACAGTGGGCACATGGTGGAAGTCATGAGTCTATCAGAGGCGAGCAGTATCATTGAACGACACATTGCCTCTCGTCCCATTGACACGGAAGAAGACTTTCATTACATTGCAGAGCTATTGCGCACCTACGAAAGTGAGGACGACCTCAAGCGAATAGCCGAACTGATTCGGGCCAAGCAAAAGGGCGTGCCCATTCGATACAACGACAGTAAGGACAAAAAGGCCAAGAAGAGTAGTGGCCACAAGAAACGAAAGAAGAAAGACAAGAAGAAGCACAAGGAGGAATACAAGAACAAAGTCAAAGAACCAACATATCCCATAGACGAAGACGAAGACCCGTTCAACGATAGTGCCATTAGCAACACAAGGACTGTCACTTGCGCGTCGCCATCTGCCAGCTCCATGAGTGTGAGCAGTGAGAGCACGAGCAGCAGAAGCAGCAGTCTGAGTTCCATCTATCATCGAAGTCCCGTTGACGACGTTGCCAGGTCCGCTAGAAGCAGCAGTGTCAGCAGCAGCGACAAGAAACCAAAGAAACGCATCAAGTTTAGCAAGAAAGAGAAGAAGCTAAGCAAGAAGGACAAGAAAAGCAAGGACAAAGAATCACGCAAGAAGCCGTACGATTGGGCGAAAAAGGCCAAGAAAGCGTCAAAGCGCGAGCGCACTGAGGGACCAGACGAGCAGCCGCAACAGCGAGAAAGCAACAATCTTCAAATTTTAACGAAACCGAGTGAAGAGACAGAGACAGTACCGGCGGACAGTGTCCAAATGGTTGATAAGGATCATCCACCACGTAGCATCCAGGTCATCAAGGGAAAAGGTGCTTCGTTTCGAGCGGTTTCGCCCAGTGAAATTGAATCTTGGGCCGGGACTCCTCCCATTTTGGGTGAAAGCGACAACGATGACGATGACGAGGATGACAGCGATGACGACGATGATGACGACGACGACAACTGTGCTCCAGAGGCATTCGAGAACGAGCATGAGCCAGTGCTTTCAAACACTTCGAAAGGAAGTTCCAAGTCATCAGAAGGCGGCTTCGAAGCCTTTGAAAACGAGCACGAACCAACCTCCAAGGGAGGCAGTACTAAATCGGATGGAGCTCTAGAAGCTTTTGAGAATGAACCCGAGGAATCAGCCCACCCGGCTTCACCCCCCAGTACGTCAAAGGAGATTCGCAAGTCTGGAGGTTCAAGTCGCAAGTCTGGAGGTTCAAGCGAGTCCTCATCGGGCGGATCAAGGGAGTTGTTCTTCAATGAAATGGAGGAATCAGAAAGGACAAACCCAGCACTCGGTTCATTTCCGTATCCAGGCATGATTCAAAGGAACAACAGTGAGGACGTGAAGCCATTGATCCATAGCAGCAGAGACATCGCGGTAGAGGGGCAAGCGCGGGGTTTTGGAACGACCCATCGGGACGGGTCGGATTCATCAGAACCAGGGGAACCAGCTGTACTTTTCTCGGCGGGAGTGATGCAATCTTCGAAGCTCTCCGTATCAGAGGCTATTGAAGAATCAGAGGTAGAATTTGACGATTCATTTGCTCCATCACAATCACAATCACATTCGGATTCCTTTCGCGACGAAGAAGCACCAGGAGTCCCTTTCCCGCCGTCGACGGCTGAGGACGAAGAACTCCAACCAACTTCTGCATTAGGCAGGGCGATATCGTCAGATTCTTCAACCCTGTATAAAGCATCGCCAGTTGACTCTCTCCCAGTTCAGCATCGCAAAGACTCTACTGGGAACGAATCATTGAAGTTGTCGACTTTGGGAAACTCCTCTCAGAGGGTCTCTTCAAAGAATTCAGTCGAGAAGTCCTCAAACTCCGATGTGTTTAATGACAGTTGGGCAGAACCACAAGATGCGACCACCACTTATACTACTGAAAAAACAAGAGTTGGGCGATCTAATGCTCCTACTCTACCCACAATCTACGCCTCGGCATCATCCGGAACGGACCAAAAAGTGGGTTCCCGTGCGATAGACATCAGTAGTATCCAAGAGTTCGAAGAAGGGTTAGCTGAACAGAGCGACGACAGTGCGTCGGAGAGCACACCGGATGACGAACAGGTGAAAGTTGCACTCAAACAATTCAACCCCGCAAAGGAAACCGCGGTCGAAAGGGACAAATCATTGGTCAAAAGCAGTACGGCTTATCCTCCTTTGGGTAATTTCCAGTTTGCTAGGCAAACGTCTGCTGGGAATGCCTCTTCTGAACAATCGTTACCTGCATCGAAACTAAATGCTTCGTTGCTGGTCAACCGCAAATCCTCCTCCGGGCTACTGAAGACAACACTGGACATGTCCAGGCAAAGGTCGGGGACTTCGTTGACGCCTCTTACCCCGTCCGCTTTGCGTCCGCCCTCAAACAAGCGGCTGGACTCTGGAATCATTTCCACGCAAGACATCGACGTGAACCTGCCTCGGGAGAGCATGGCGCGTGTTGCCAGCAGCGACATGCTTCAGCTGGGTAGTGTTCATGAGGAAAGGTCATACGAACCCAATCTGGCGCGCCAGCTTCCCTTGCCTGATCAAGAACAAGCTGGCGAAGTAATTCAAGCTGAGTTCGCTGTGAAGCCCCGTTTGCTGTGCTTACACGGGTGGCGGTCTAATGCGGAAATCACTCGCCTACAGTTGGATAACCTGGGTCTTCTGGACTTCTTTGATCCCATCTTTATCGAGGGCCCGCACACTAGCAGCAAACCAGCTGATCATGCGGTCAATTTGCTGTCTCAAGGGCCATACTACTCCTGGGTGGAAAAGTCCAACCCATACAATGACACTGACGATGCAGTCGACAGCTGGCTGTCTCTCCGAGGGAAGCAAGAGAGCATGAGAGCGCAAAGGCATAGCGTATATGCCTTCGGTCGTACCGGAGGCCCTGGTGGGAGACGAAACCGTGAGAGACAAACAGCAACAGAGGAGTTGATGTTAAGTCTGAAAGCTGTTATGGTGCATCTTTTGACTGAATCACAATACTTGGACGCCTTTGTTAACGAGAACGAAGATATTGCTGACATTCCTTGCTACGACGCAGTGTACGGATTCAGCCAGGGAGCCACGCTTGTGACGCTCCTATCGTACGAGTAAGTGGATCCCAGTCTATCTATCGTCATACAGTGCAATCCTCACATCGATTCTCTCTCTGATCCGTGATATAAAGATTTGTGCGAAATCGTGTCCTGGAAGAGCTGAACTTGCCTCCAATGCGACGGCTTCCATGGAGATTTGTTTTCTCTGCCTGCGCCGCAAATACAAACATGAAGGAGCTTTTGGCACAACACTTTGAGCTCGAGTATTCGGTGCAGATCCCACTCCCAAGCGTCCATATTATTGGACTGTCTGACTCTCGTAAAGGCCAGTCAGAGGCAATCATGAAGGAACACTACAATTCACAGCAGGCCTTCCCGGTTTACTTGGACAGCGGACACGGAATCCCAGCTGCGACGAGACGATTGACACACGTCCTTGACGAGATATTGAACTGGTTTCTGCTGAAGGTCGCACTACCGGACGTGGACGTTTCGAATGTACCATTGGAAGCGGAGTCTCAGCATGTTTCGCTACTTCACGTGGTCGATGAGATAGACAAGATCCAGCGTGATGAACTCGAAGAATTCAGCTCCATCGATGCTGAGCTCGATGTCGGGCAGCTTCATCTTGGAGCCTTCGGCCAGTACATAATCAATACTGCGCAGCCATCTCACAGTAATCTGGTCGAAATGCTCGAAGACGCGAACCCAAGTCGGCTTGCTTTCTTGGCACCTGAAGCAAAGCCACTAACTTATGGCGCCATGCTGAAATTCATCAGGGGGGACGGAGACTTACGACGTGCTGGTGCAGGAGAAGGATTCACCGGTAAGTCCAGGCAGCCGAGAATCGATTGATAGATTTGTTTGAATCGCTCACCAACAGATCCTTTGCCGGATCGGGTTGCAGTGGCCTACGTGGCCCCATTTGGAGTGGTCAGTGCCGCAGCGTTCGTAACAATTGCAGCACAGTGTACAGCCGCGCCGTTGGATCCTGGCTACAACGAAAGCGATTATGTTTTGGCGTTTGACCAAATAAATCCAGATCTGGTGATAACTTTCGACGGCGTCGATTCCGGAGTGGTTCACAAGGTAGCTCTGGGTAAGGGTTTGCGTGTTGTCCATGCCACAGTCATACCCGGAACTTGCGGTCTATTCAAGTTCGAGAAAGACAAAAACCCATCTATGCCCGATCCAAAATCTTTTCTTTACGATACCAAACACCTTGTCAACCGAGCCGACAACAATGGCCTTATCCTTCGCACAAGCGGTACAACGAGCAAGCCAAAAGTGGTCCCGCTCAAGCTATGGGCAATCATTACGAATTCTCGAGTTATCGCAAAAAGTTTGGGGTTGCGGAGCTCTGACATAGCATTGAATGCCATGCCGCTGTTTCACATCGGAGGGTAAGTTTCAAATCTTCGACGATGATCGTTTGATTAGTGGATCGTGCTTCGCTAGGCTCACGTCAAGCTCGACCCCCTTTCATCATAGCCTTTCGGCAAATTTGCTGTCCTCGCTTGCAGCAGGTGGAAGCGTCATTCTACTGCCAAAGTTTAGTGCTCCTCAGTTCTTTGACTTCTTGACTTCGCCCGAGGAACCCAGGCCAACATGGTACTCTGCTGTTCCGACGATGCATGCTGCCATTCACCTGTTTTCGGAAGATTCGATTTTCAAGACATCGCTTCGGTTTATTCGATCCGGAGCAGCAGCGATGCCTCATGATCTTGCTATCAAAATGGAGCAAACGTTTGAATGTCCACTGATTCTGACTTATTCTATGACCGAGCAAATGCCAATCACCCAGCCTCCGTGTGAATACAGCATTCCACGCAATAATCCAAACAGCGTTGGCCAACCCGTCTGCGTGTCAATGTGTATCGTTGACGAAAATTTGCGACCAGTTCCATTCGTTGGGAGCAATAGCGAAGGAGACGGGGAGGATCCTGTGAATGGAGAAGTATGCATATCAGGACCAATGGTTGTAGAAGGGTACCATGCCAATGCATCAGGGAACGCAAACTCCTTCTTCCGCATGGGTGGGATGGATTGGTTCAGAACAGGGGATATGGTAAGGTCACCGTGGTTTTCGATTTCGATTGAACCATTTGCAATCTTAGCTCTAATGTCGACATGTACTGAACCACTCGCAGGGTCACTTAGACAAGGGGGGCTTCCTGTTTCTTACGGGTCGCAGCAAGGAGCTAATCAAGAGGGGAGGTGATCAAGTGAGCCCATATGAGGTTGAAGACGCCATTTACAAACACAGAGGGGTGAAGACCGCTGTTGTCTTCGCGATTCCTGATCCAATTTGGTAAGAGTAGCATTGCCCTGCTACATGTACATGTAATTGCTCAGTTTTTCCATGTCTAACACTTTCCCCTCCAACTATAGGGGAGAACGAGTTGGTGCCGCCGTAGTACTGAAAGATGGCATCAAACACGAGCAACTACAGTTGAAGAAAGAGATGAACAAAATGCTACTCGACGACGGATTGCAGCCATTCAAACTACCGGATCAAGTTGTAATAGTGACGGAAGCTGACTTGCCGAAGACGCGAAGCAACAAATACATCCGCATCGGCCTGGCAAGAGCTCTAGGTGTGAATTCAAACATTGCTCGGGACGAACTCAAGGCCATGAGACCAGTCAATTATCATGAAGCAGCTGTGGGGGTCAAGTTTTTCCTTGCTTTGGCAGTCATATACGTCCATGTAGGCAACTTCGACAAGCGTGAATATTCTGATTATGCTCACGACTCGGGCTTCGAATATGGTTGGGAGCGCACACGAAGCTGGTGCTGGCACAATCCCATCTTCTTCCTGGTCGGTGGCTTTCTGTTGGCGGCAGGAACACACGTTCCGGTTACAACATTCAGGGACTTGCGCCAATTCTACTCGCTTCGCATTGCCGGATTGCATCCAATGTATTTGATCAGCATCTGCTTCTGTACCATCAATTTCATCGCTCGATGCAGACCTTCCAACTTCATACCGGAATTCAACAGGCTTCGAGAACCACTGGAAGGGGAGTACTTTGTTTGTCAAGCAGCACCCATTGAATGGTCCTATTGGCCAACCCTTATCATTTCAATCATATCGTACGCCTGCACGCTGCAATCTTGGCCTCTGCTGATTCCATTCTCTTGGTATGTAGAGTATGAACAACGCTTGTCCAACCTTGTGGATGGCATAGCAACTGCGGAGCATCCCTCACATGTTGTTTGTGCACTTCGTTCGTGTAGGTTTTTGTCATATTACACTTGGTAAGTCTCCGAAGTCTCCGAACCACCACATTGGATACTCCTCCCTCAAAACGTTTTCGAACCTTTTTGTTCTTGTGATGGTTAGGTTTTCGTCGGTCTACATCTTCTGCATCTTCGCCTTTCCATGGTGTCATCAACAATTTCACGCAGTACGAGATGACCCCAAAGCAGTGTGGAGGTTGACCATGTTTTGGCTTGGCATGAACTACGTTTACGCTGCCGGCCTCTCCGTCTTGTTCGGTATGAACGACGATGCAGCCCAAAACTATTTTGCGCTAAGCTCGTACCTTTTCCCCCCCGGCTGGTTTCCTTGCTGCGCCTGTGGGGTTGGTAAGTCGTCTTCCATGGATGTTCCTGGGATGCTTTCTACCAAAACTAATGTAACTCGATTGCTGGCAACAGGTTGCTTCTATTTGTTTCGGTTGTATCGACCCAATGAAAGAGCAAAAGCATGGGTTTGGGGGACCATCACTGACATCATCAGCCTCCTTCTATTTGCTGGCTGGTTATTCTATGGCCTTGCACCCGCTGAGGCCACACCTGCTTTTGCCGAAGACGATGCTTTGGTTGCAAGACACTGGTTTCCGTTCTTGTCCCGAATTCTTGCTCCCTTTGGCTTTCTCTGGTTTTGGGGGTTGGCTGTCGGAACAGGTTACACATCGAAACTGTTTTCGATTCCCATTGTGGTGGAATGGCTTGCACCAGCTTCCTACAACATGTTTCTCTTTCATCAACCCGTATCTGAATGGTACTTTTTGGCCACGAGAGGGGAGTGGTGGGCTTACCCGAAGACATTCTTTTGGTTCAGGTAGGCATGCTGGTGACATTACGATGACAAGCCCGATCATGGTGTCAAAGCTCACTCTGATGTTCTCTTGTCGGCTCAGTCCGTACCCGTATCCGGTAGCATTTTGGGAGTTCTTCATTGTCGCTGCGATTGTTGTGGCGCTTTCAGTCGTCATGGAAGCCTACGTGAATGAGCTATTGGTTGCAAACTTCAGCGCTGCCTTGGATTGGATGACCGGAAGTGATGGTCTGCGGATAAGTTCCAAAGATGGGGAATCAGTTCTAAGCGTTGTTCAATCTATCATTCGCGAGCTTACTTACGCCGAGGTGACAGCACAGACAGGGCTCACGGAAGCCGGTTTGAGCAGCATGACAACAATTATTCTTGTGAGTGAGATCAAGAAGGTGTACAAGACCCTCAAATTGACGGTCCGTGATGTGATCAACTCAGACACTGTTGGGGAGCTAGTTGACGTGATTGAAGGAAGGATGAAGGAATCTGCTTCTCGCCCAGAACTGGCCCTTGGAAAGAGAACGGGTGTGGTTGCCCCAAAGGCGCTGAAGAAGATGATGGAAGAAAGTATGGAATTTGCAGAAGCGGAAGGGGAGGGCCCGACGCCCGCACCAACGTTGTCCAGACAGACTTCGTTTGCTTTGAATCGCGGTACCTCGAGTCGCTTTGGTTCCGGGGGATCGACCCTGGATAGTAGCCAAGGCTTTGTTCGACGTACTGGTGCGTACACAGTGCTCAATGTGATTTCGTATGATTGACTTGAAATCTTGCCCCACTAACGCCCTCTCTTCTATGCCGCACAGATGGTCGTTTTGGCAGCGTGACAAGTAGGAGGAACTCACGCAGTAGGCGAGCTTCTCACGTGTTGAACGATCTTGAAACATCTGGTTCTCACCACGGGGTTCGTAGAAGCGTCACTGCAGCTGGTGCACCCGGCCGCAACACCACTCGTTTGTCCTTTTCCATCCAAACTCAGGAAACCCCCAACTCTGGGCCATCCCGTCGACGTGCGAGCAACAATCGACTATCGCATTCTTCCATGAACACTCGATCCACGGGACACCAACCAACGGGAGCCATGTCGGCATCTACGCGGCGTGGGGGAGGCACTCGGCTAAGGCGTCTCAGTAGCGCCAGATTGGTTACTCCTTAGTCCTTAGATGCTTGAGTCTCTTTGTGCTATTGGGCGCAACTAAACTAAACCATTTCCAATGTCAGATTTGCCGAGTTATATTACCCAGCTGTTGGCACCGTGTGCTTGTTTGCTCGCACGTAGGTTTCGCATGAAAAACAGTTGCAATGTGCGGCACAACCCGCCATACACGTGCCGGTACCGGTATGTAGCGTACTGCTAGCTACGGTGGGTAGCTAGTAGGAGCAGCCAGCCAGCACCGCTTTGACTTCTTGAATGGTTCTGGATGCTGGACAGACGCGTGCAATTATTTGACACTTGACACCAGCCAGCCCAAAAAGACTGCTCTAAGTGGGTAGTTCAGGTAATGTTTCTCATGATATTTTATTTTATAAAGCAATATTTACCGCATCTACCTGCATACCTGTCTTCAAGAAAAATAGTGTGCCCACCAGCCAGATCACTAACAGAAGCAGCAAAAGGCGACAGCTAACCACGTAACCACGTCAAGACAAGACCAAAGAACAAGCTCTTCCATTTCCTTCTGCAACTTCAGGACGCGATAACATATCACGATGGAGGATGTCGAGATGAGCAATGTTGAAGAGGCTCACAAGACCTCTGCTGCTGCCCAGGCTCCATCCGCAGCTGTGAGGTCGGAGACACAACAGAGGGTATTCTCCCGCTTGGGCTTTGACACAGAAGCGAAGCTGAACGAAGCCACTGCTGGGAACTCTCGGAAGCAACGAGCCGTCGAGAAGATGATGGTGGCAGAGCTGCATCACGTAAAAGGAGAGCTTGCCGTGGAGAGATCAGCCTTACAAAACGAGAATGATTCGCTCAAGAGGGCTATCCGCGAACTGAGGGCAAGGCAACAGCAGCAGCAGCAGCAGCCGCAGGCAGCAGGTATTCATTAATACAGGCAGAATGCTTTCCGGATTGAAGATCTATTTCCATGGATGTATGGTATGCTTCATGTCAAAGAAAAGAGATGCTTCTTTCTCAATCATTTGTGCGGGCTATGAAACCACGAACGGCATCCTCTCTGATGTGTGATCTTTTCAAAGGCGGAGCAAGAAGATGGCCATACTACGGTAGTTTGATACTTTTTAGTTTATTTCCACTCCACGATATTAACCTTTGGACTCGACTCATGAATGAGGATTGCTAGCTAGCTGTGCACACTTTTGAGTTCAACATGCCCATCATTGGTACCCCTGGATCCAGCCCTCACCAATCCCCAAAACTTATTTGCTTCCCATCTGCCCGCCTCCCGCCTCTGTCAATTCGGTCCCCGGCAATCCACTCCCAATCCAAGGACCGGTAGCCTTGTCCTGAGTTCTGTCTTCTACCCCCCAATCTTGGCCCAACGCTGGCTTTCCTACACCAGGGAATACTCCACTAGTCGAGCACTGTTATTAGCACTGGCTCCCGTACTAGCTACCACCCTGCCGGCAGTAGCACCGCATTTCTATTGATCACAACGTCACGACGTCATGATGTTTTGGCGCACGAGGAAAACTGGGTGACCCCAACTGCCTAAATCTGCCCATTTTGTGGTGACCGCGAACTAAACGTGACTGACGTACTTGCCGCCAAGCTCCAAGCAACCTAGACACACCGTCAAGTCTCCTCACACACAAAGCAAGCCTGCTGTCTCCTGTCGTGCAATAAAAACACTGGCCAGAAGCAACCACAAGCAAATGTTTCTGTAATGATGGGCTCCACAATAATGCTGTCATATTCGAGAACGTATTGTTTAGCACGGGTGCTCTTTCTGGCTTTGGCCCTCCTCACGACGTTTGGATCCTCGTTCTCATCGCTGGACACTCATCATCATCATTATCATCAGTTGTTCAAGACGACCACCACGCCATGGCAGCAACCAATCCGACGAACCTTGCGGCACGCCACCCAACAACAACAGACGTCCCAAGACCTGCTGGATACCTTTGAGTCTTGGTTTTCGTCCGTCGCTCCTCCATCTGCGGTCCATGGTTCCATTCGACACGCCTTTTTTGGAAATTTGCGCGGTTTGGAATGGACGGCTTCTCCATCGTCAACACCGTCTGCTCCCGTGATATCCGTTCCTCTTTCCCTTGTATTGCAAAGTGATATTCAGGATTCCACCGACAAGGATGATTGGGATTCCAACTTGGCCCGTCAACTCTGGTCCGAGTGTCTATTGGGAGACCAGAGCAAACTGTCGGGCTACTGTGACTTTTTAACGCAAGGACGACAGTATTTGCCAGTTCCATTGAGTACAGCTCCCAATGCACTCCGGCATTGGAAAAAAGAGGAACGACAAGCACTGCAACAATCCACAGCAGGAAAGAAAGTATTGGAATTGGAACTGGCCCAACAAGAGTTGTGGAAAACCAAATATGATAAAGGGACAAATGGCAATGACAACAACAACATGTCCTGGGAACAGTTCCAATGGGCCATGGAGGTCGTACACTCTCGAGCCTTTCGTGGAAACTTTGGCAGCAAGACTGGAGATCATTCCGATCAAAACACGGTCTTGTCTCTATTGCCAACGGTCGTGCCGCCATTGGCCGCCGCAGTGGGTGGCTTGGTCTATGTTCAAAGCACGCCCTATCCCAACGATGTGGTCTTGGCCGGATTGGGGGCACTGGCCGTTGCACCCTTGGTCATCAATCTGCAATCATCGTCTTCTCCTTCGGCGGTTCTGTTGCCCATGATTGATTCTGCCAATCACCAAGAAGATGCCGACAGCAAGATTGAATACGATCCCCTAACCAAATGCTTTCAAATGAGTATTGGGCCCAAGTGCTTGATACAACCATCTGCCACTAACGGTGATGATCACCCCCAGCTTTGCGTTAGTTATGGCAAACGAAGCGACGCGGAACTGCTGCTGAATTATGGATTTCTACCAGAAGTCTCCTTGTGTTCCGACGACGTGTCACTATCGGAACAAAGAGCCCGCCTAGCCGATGCCTTCAATCAACGAAACTACTAGCTAGGCTAATAGCTAGTAGCGGCTCCCTTGCTAGAAAATTGCCTTTGAACAGAGACACAAGTTCCGGGTTTCTTCAGAGGTATTCAAAAATGTTTCCTGTGGAGGTGCAAGCTAGCCGCCAGCATCGGTGAAGACAACTGACCCTATCCATTACCGGTACAGCTGTGTACCGGTACAGTAGCTTTGATAACTGTAGTAAAGGCATGAGCCCGTCCATTCTCCGCATCTACTGGACCGTCCGACGGTTTTCGCTCAGGCTTTAACAACTGCCACGACTGGATCAAAATACGAGTGCACGTTTGGATATGAGTCGCACTGGTATCCCGTACCTCCGGGGCTGTCAAAGATTTAAGGGCTTGTTTAAGGGCTTGTTGAAGATTTAAGGGCTTGTTTTAGGGGTTTGTTTATTTAAGGGCTTGTTTTCGCACGATAAGGGTTTGTTTAGGGTTTGTTTAGGGGCTTGTTTCTTGTCAGTTCGATTCGATTCCTCATCATTCGCGCGATGGATCCGATCGATCGACAGCAGCGGGGCAACACAACCACCATGACGATTACCGTGGTCTAGCTAGCTAGCTAATCAACCGTAGCAACAACCAACCAAGACAAAGGATAGCACCATGGCAGATGATTTTGATGGTGATGATGATGATGGGTATGTAGTGTACTCAATCAAGACGCCAGACGAGATGCTTGCTGAGGGTTTGTCACTCGCTGGATTCACAGAGAAGCGATTGTCAAAATGGGGTCATAAGTCGAAGGTTCAGACCTTCAAGGATCGCTACGGTCACATCCCGATTGTGGCTGCTCAAATCTGGGAAGATTTGCAGACAACATCGATTGATGAGGCAAGAGTGCCAGAGAAGAAGCTCAAACTGAATTATTACTTCATGGCACTGCATTTCCTGAAGCGCTATCCCACTGAATCTGAGCGGAATTGCGCATATCAACGGCGGGTGGCAACACAGCGAGAGTGGGTTTGGTATTTCGTTGAGAAAGTAGCCCGTCTCCTTGCCTCCAAAGTTTATTGGCCGGAAGATCACATTCATGGAGATGACATCTGGATCTGCTCTATTGATGCTACTATGACTGCGGCTTGGGAAGTTGCCCATCCAGAATTGGCGAAGGATCCCGGCATGTTTGATTTTAAGCACCATTCAGCCGGATACAATACTGAGATTGTTCTGTCCCTTGTTCGCAGTCAGGTGCTACAAATTTTGCCGGCTGAGAAGGCAGGAGAAAACCCTGACCGAGTTATGTTTCGAGCCAACGGTGGCCTACGCGACAAGTTGCACGAATTCAAAAAGAAGGCAATTGCTGACGGTGGATACACGGGCGATGGTGATGTGCTAAGCACTCCAAACGCTCATGACTCAGCAAGTGTTCGTCGGTTCAAATCGAGAGCTTTGAAGCGCCATGAGTACTTCAACAGTATGCTAAAGAGTTTCAAAGCTATGGACCATGTCCATCGCCATGGCCAAGCTAAACTCCAGCTCTGTGTTGCTGCTATTGTTGTCATTTGCCAGTATCAGATGGAGCATGGAAGCCCACTCTGGAATATTTATGTGGGAGACATGTAAATGGGCGATTAATCTTAATAATGCAAACTAGTAGTCTCCACCCTTGTCGTCCTGCTTTGGCACCGGCACAAATCGAAGCAGCCCCTGCTTCTTGGACTTTGCCGCCATCTCACCCACTCCTCTCTTCTTGTGGCCTGTTTCATCGTTCATGAGGGTATCATCGTTCTGGCCCCCAAGGAAAGCGTCTGTTTCCACATGCTGTTGTTGAAGCTGATCAATGTTCTGTTGAAGCCACTCGTCAATGTCATCGTCATCGTCATCATCATCTTTGGAAGAGGAGAAAAGGTTGCCATCGTCACCAAACATGTCGTCAGAATCGAAACTGTTTCCGGTTCCAAGAGCATTGTCAACCGGTGGCTTCTGCTTCTTGGTGGTCGGCTTCTTGGCAAGCTGCTTCGTCTTAGTTGTTGGCTGCTTCTTGCTGTTAGACGGAGTTCCCGATGGATCAACAGATGGCGCGGGGGCGGGCGGTGCTACTGGTTTTGTTGGCACGATGCCTCCTAATAGGAACAACAAACACACGAAAAAGCAATCAAGAAAAACCATCCACTATTGTTGTTAGAGACTATACAGACAGCTTGGCAAGGTGGACAGAATAACACCAGCACTCAACCTCGTTTCCTGCCAGCCTTCTTTTTCTTGCCAACAAGTTTCATTTTCTGCATGGAAGCAGCAACATCCGTCATTGGTTCCTCTTCCTCGTCAGAATCCATTGCCCCACGCGCTCGCTTATCCAATGCCTTGTCGGCAACCCGCCAAACAAGACGAGGCGAAGAATGAACAGACCAAATGGACACGTCCACTTCCATTCCATCTGAGTTCTCCATTGAAATTTGAGGTAATTGGCCGTCCTCATCAAGCTCGTTCTCGATGTCCAAATCCGTTTGTACCGGGAGAGTCCCCACAGTCATAAGCCCGTCTTCCTTATTCGAGTTGATTTCCAGCACATCCGCCGAAAGCTCGACGTCTCTGGGGAATTCGAGATGGTAAACCTTCGTGTTCTTCTCTTTCTTGATGACCTCTTCTTTGAACTGAACCGTGGCATTCTCAATAGCCTCCCAAACGACTCCATCATTTATGGGTACACCTTTTTCGTCAACCGCTTCGAGCATTTCCTTGATCTCCGGATTGTCATATCCCGAATTAGAATAATCCAACCCCGGAGCTGTAACAACAACAGTTCTGGCATTGTAGACCCGAGCTTGAAATGGAAATGCTTTCCTCTTCCCACCATCTCCCTGGGCATCCACCGGATGTACACGCATAAAAATCAGATATCCCTTGTACATCTTCGCGGCCTTTGTCTTGGGATTCTCCTTTCCTTTGAGACCTTCAGCAGAGAGCACCTTGAATGGTTCCTCGGTCTTCCACCACTGATCAATATTGACCACAATCTTGCCTGTTGAAAGCAAGAAAATTCAAAGAAAGCAAAAGTAAGAGACAGGCATCGAGCATAATTACTTGGTCCATCATGCAGAGCAAACACTCGCCGGTGTTGTCTCCTCCAGAAGTATTCATTGCTTCAAGTGAATCTTCTTTGAGATGCTTTGCTTCTTTTGGCTTGGGTTTTGAAGCTTTCTTCTCTGTGGATTGCTTCTTGGGCTTGGTGGTAATCTCCTTTATTGCGGAAGGAGGTGCTGTCTCTTCCGACTGAGATATCGACGAGGATGACGACGACAGAGATGAGTGATCACGGTAGGATCCAAAATCCACTTGTTGCTTCTTGGCTGGCTGCTTCTTCTGCTTGCTGGCTGCCGGCTCTTTCTTGAGGTTTACAGAACAAGGAACTTGGTACCTATTCAACACTTTCTTGAGATAATCAGCCTCGCTTAGCTCCCTCCAACGTTGAACGTACTTTCTAATTCGAAGTCGAATCGGGTCTCCTCTCTGTCCATAGAGTGAACCCTCGTCAATTTCTAGTCGTTCGTCAAGTAGAGCAGAAAGCACTTGAGACTTGTCTTGCGATCCCTTCTGCAATGCCTTAATACCACCCTCAAGCTTCGACTCAATATCTGTTGCGAGCTGCTTCAACAAATGTGAGGGAAGACCGGGCCTGCTGCTAGTGCTGGTTGTGCTCTTGACCGATCTCCCACCTGGACTAGCGAATGAAGGGCTTGCCAATGATGCTGTTGCTCCTGGAGTAGCAGTTGGACTAGATGGAGGAAGACCCTTTGACCTCCTTGAAGATCTTCTGTTGGTTACCATTGTGTGAGACAATGCTAGCTAGCGAGGCTAGTGCTGCCTTCGGCAAACTGTCACGTCGACACACAGGCCACGTCGACGTTCAGACTGCGTCGAGAAGAAGAACGTCATCCAGATTGGATTCGATTGGATCGTTTCCCTTGATATCTTAGAGCCATAGAAATTCCAGCTCTAGTAAGTGGTACAGCGGTAATCTAGCTACTAGCAAGATCACCGTCGTGTCGGCAACCAAATTGGACAACTACGGTACGAGTGCAAGCCAACAAATCAAGCAACCATGCCCAAGAAGAAGAAGAACAAAGGATGGGAGAACAGCAATGCCAAGGCAGAGCTCTATGCTGCTATTCTGGCAAATACCATCCCACTTGAGCCACCTGATGATGAGACCGAAGATGATATTCAGTATTATTTTCACTCACTACCTGAAGTCACACTTGAAGGCGATTGGGCCAAGTTTCCACGGCGACTTTCTGACTTGCGAATTCAAATGAAGAGGGATCTTTCTCGAGCACAAGAAGATCAAGAGGCATTTGATCGATTTGTGGCCAACCACCCCAAGAATCTAGTTGCGGCAAAGGGAAACTATCCAGAGTGGGAAGATCATGATGCTCAGAAGCTACTCAAAAAGGACATGGCAGCAGGATTGCATGATGAATACAAGCCCAAGGATTTGTGGGAAAGTCGAGATGAGTATCAGCTCTTTCCCTTGAAAGTGTTTCGAGATCACATCTACCAAGAGCTTCGAACAGCACGATACTTGAATCAACTACAACAAACAGAAAAGGGGGGCCACAAATGGAAACAGCTCTACAAAGAGATGCAGGGACACAATGAATATAGCTCTGACTAAGCAATAAGCAATGGTTGCTTGACAGTTAGTAGTATACTCGTACTATTGCTGGCTTCCTCCTCTCGTTGGGTTGGTCGTCGTGTTGTTGTTGTTGTCGCGAGCGATCGATCGATCGCTTGTGGTACGTACCACTCCTTGTTTCGAATAAGGGCTTGTAAGGGCTTGTAAGGGCTTGTTACGGCTTAAGGGCTTGTTTGGAAGGCTTAAGGGCTTGTTTTTTAAGGGCTTGTTTTTTAAGGGCTTGTTTAAGGGCTTGTTAACGATTTAAGGGCTTGTTTAAGGGTTTGTTTAGGTCCACTCGTGGTAGACTTTGACTGTTAAATCCCTGTCATCAGTCGTGGGAGTTTAAAATCATTTTATAAATCCCGAGCGAAAACCGTCGGACGGTCCTGGTACCGGCACATCTATCTGCACTCTTCGGAGTACATGTATGATCGACGCCTGTATGATACTTGACACCGGGCATCAAACCAAATAGTTGCATCTGGGAATTGTATGTTGATACTGGCTAGCTAGAAGACATCGTCAGTGTGAGCATCAGCTGCCACCCTTGTCCGACCTCCTTTAGAAACTCACAACAGAGCCTGAGAGAGCATTCCCCAACGAAGATGATAATGTAAGAGCTCATGATGTATGTTACCAGGTACTGCCAAAAGATGCCTCTGCAATTGAATTTCTTTGTGTATGCCTCAGAGGCTTTTAACTGGCTTATTAGCGAACAGAACGACAGCGAACTTGTCCTGACGATCCGTCGTCGACAAGCACACATACATGCAACTGCGGCACCAGTCCAATCGGCAATAGACATAACATTTTATCATGTCTTCCGAGAGGGGAAACCATCCTGCTCCTAAAGGCACTAGTCCTCCTAATCCCCGCCATGTCATGCTGCTGTTGGAGAAACATGATGTTTGGATCAACAACATTCTTCCCTTTGTGGGAATGGGGCATTATGCTTTTATTGGAGCTACAAACAAGAAATTGAATGGTCTATATCGAAAATATTGCGATTCTGTAGCTAGTCCCCCCGAGGTTTCTGCTGAACATGTTCGCCGGGCTGCAGTCAAAACTGATACTTTTTTTAGTGCCATATTTTGTGATGTTTCAACAGCTGAATACTGGCTCAGTGACAACTCTGAAGGGCGGAGGCCTTTCAGTGACAATGTTTGCGGTTGCATTAGGGATGTGGGGAACCTTAGGGTTCTTCTTTGGGCTCACATGGACACAAGATTTCCATTGCCACGAGATAATATACACCAGCGAGCTGCTACACGAGGCCATTTGCATATATTGAAGTGGGCTAGGGACAACGAATGGCCTCTACCACCAGAAGGTTCAATCATCATATCAATCAATGCGGCTAAATATGGTCATTTGGAGGTGCTGAAATGGGCCAAAGATGTTTGTTTCGAATGCAAACGTGACATCTGCATCAATGCAGCCCAAGGTGGACACTTGGAGATATTGAAGTGGGCGAGAGACAATGGGTGCCCATGGGATTCACAGACTTGCGTGTGGGCTGCTTTAGGTGGTTATTTGGAGCTTTTGAAATGGGCACGAGAAAACGGATGCCCTTGGGGCAACAGGACCTGCGAGCTTGCAGCTCGAGGAGGGCAGTTGCAAGTGCTAGAATGGGCAAGAGCAAATGGTTGCCCTTGGAATGAAAATACTTGCTCTGGTGCTGCTCAAAGTGGCAGACTTGAGGTCTTGGAGTGGGCTCATGCAAATGGGTGCCCCTGGTCTGTTCATACATGTGCAAATGCAGCTGAACACGGCCATTTGGAAATTCTTCAGTGGGCACGTGCGCATGGATGTCCGTGGGATAAAAGTACTTGTGCTTTTGCTGCTCATCATGGCCATTTGGAAATATTGCAATGGGCCCGTGCAAATGGCTGCCCATGGGATGCGGCAACAATCAATCTTGCCATACTGGGGGGTAATTTGAAACTGCAGAATGGGCGCGTGGGTGCCCCGAGTCACACTGGGATTGGTAGTGTTCTCTTGTATGGTAAATTTGTTTGTTTCCTACATTCCTTTGCTCCGTGAGAAGCTGGAAATTGCCAAAGTGAATGGACGTTATGAACTGGCACAATGGGCACGGGCCAATAGGTGCCCAGAGCCACATTTGTATTGTTTTGATGTGCACTTGTACTTGCTTTGCTTGCTTCCTACATCCTTGTGCTACTTTTCATTGTGGTGCTGTTCCGGAAAACAAGCGCACCGACTGGGTCACTCGATCAAGAAGCACGCCAAAGAAAATCCCTGAAAATACACCACAACCAAATCAATTTTAGAGCCTAATTCACCAAGCCCCAAGGGTAGTATTATGTTAGCTTCTGTTGGCGCTTCTGATCAGAGCAAGCTTGGCAGGCCGAAGGTTCAAGCTGGTCAAGACAACTGCCAGTGACGCGAGACGACCATCGGTTCCCGACGGACAGCTGAACCACACGGTTGCCCACCCAATGAAACACCCGTTCCAAGCAAGTACGTATTTGCTTATCGCTCTAATGACATGATAGGAGCAGCCTCCAATCTAGTGGAAAAATAAAAACAGCCGGAAGAACCTTTGCCATCCGCAGCACTTGCAACCCATCCATCGACAACCAGTCTGCAAGATCATCTGACTTGACTCGATCCACGTTAGTCCAACCCGCGGCTGCATATCCAGTCATCTGCTCTGAAATATGGCTTACGAAGAGTCTTGCCAGTGTAGATAGCTAGACTAGTGATGATGCCGTACAATATTATAATATGGTTCTCGTGCAACATACACAGCAAAACAGTCAACAAATGCCGCAACACTTGTTTCGACGGGCAAATAATGCCAGTTGACGAACTACCGTACTGTTCCACACAATCATCATCTCAACAAGGCAGTTCGCTCGCTCGTGTCTTCTTCTTCTTCGGCGTCGTTTTCGTCTTGGTCTAACGGGACCATTGGCGGTATCAAAGTTTTGTTCCTGTCACAACCGTCTCCGCATACCCGTGCGTAGGCTGGGGTAGCCACGAATGTCTCTTTCGTGGCATCCTCTGGTGTGTTGTTGTTGGTATCGCGGCCGTTAGTGTGATCGATGTTGCTTGTTCGTAGAGCGTGTCCCTCCGAGAGGCTACCACCATCATTAATATTTGTTGTCATGATGGATTCGGCAAAGGAATGCACCGATGATTCACAGAGGGATGGCGTTTCTGTGTGTGCTACCGATGGTTGAGTCTCCCGGGTTTGTGGTTCATCAGTAGAGGATTGCTGTTCCGTGGTGGGTTGCTGTTGTGGTACCTTGAGATTGCGGAGTGTTGGCAGGACAACCTCGGAGATGAAATAACAGGTGACTTTGCGAACGTTGAATTTGTGCAGCTCCCAAATCTTGCCAGCCTTTTGACCCAAGGAGATTCTAGCGGACATGATTTCCTTCAACTCGGGAGGTCGTTGTGGGAAGCTGCTCCGTTTGGTGATGGCTGTTGTGGTGGAAGTACCGTCGTCGACAACCAGAGCAGTGACCTCTTCGCTGGAAGATTCCCCTTTGTCTTGGCGGTTGGTCGTCAAATCTTGTAGAATGTCGTCGTTTTCTTCATCATCTGAAACCTGCAGCACTTGCGCCACTCGTTCCAAGGATCCTTCCAGCATTTTCTTGGTGTGTTCCAAGCCATCTTGCAATCCATCAAACTCGGTCGCTAAAATGGAGACACCGTATGCCGTGACGACACAACCAATGGGTACCGGAGCTGGAATCAAAACCAAGCCAGCTGCAGTCACTACCCCACCCGTCACTGCCACCTTGGCTTTCTTGGCATGCTGAGAGGGTGTCCAGTCCAAGTCCGACAAGGAATCATGGACTTGTTGCACGATGCTATCGTCTTCCATCGAACGATTCGATCGCCAATCAATCAAATCAATTGACACTTCAATAATTGAGCACCTCTGGAAATCAAGGGCACAGCAACAATTGAGCACCTCCTCTGGAAACCAAGGCCACAACAATTGAGCAATCTCTTTTTATGATCTTGCAAGGATGGTAGCGACGAAGTTAGTTGGCTTCCGTAAGAATGCGAGTACTGGTGACGATGGATGCTCGCTACCTCGGTGCTATGATAGTTGCGCCGTTTGCTGACCAGCATTAATGTATGTGATGTCGGCAGTGTCATGTGTCATCAGCTCGTCCAAAGGAATTTGGTCACTTGAGCAGTCGTGATCTTGCTGTAGATCATTCTATCACTTAAATCTTTTCCAAAAAACGAATTATGAGAGGCAGTCCTTGACCGTTAGCCACAACTTTCATGGACACGGACAAAGGGGTGTTGGTTTGGGAATCTTGTACCTGGTACTAGCTAGTAGTACCTCTTTTGTTGCCTCTCTCAGGCTGGTACCGTATCGCAACAGTCTTCCACCGGGGTGCCTAATAATGTTCGACTTGTACGCTGTACCTGCACGGTTTTCCAATCCTAACACGAACCTTCTGCTCTCCTACCGAAGGCTTTGGTTGGCTAGCTTGATTGCCTTTGCTTTTTAGTCAAGTGTTTTCAAGATATTGATGTATCCTGAAATGTAAGAAAGAGGCAAGGTTGCATGAAGCAAAATGGATATCATTACCTATACAACGCCTTCTAAATCCTTTCTTCTCGGTATAAGATACTTGAGCAGGTCATAGTCCATCTGATTGAACTTTCTCAATACCTCAAAGTCCGCCTCCTTTGGAGCAGCAACCCTGTTTTCCTTGACTAGTTTCTTGTCAGATGGGTTCCTGTGAGGCATTTTGACTTCTGGAGCACCCAAGATTTGACCCAACCATTGCTGATATATTGGATCACTCATGCGGTTGCTTTGGACAATGAGATCAAAGTCATTCTCTAGGGCATTCTTGGCCTTGGTCAGATTGGAGGGCAAGCCATTGCCAAAAACTTTGGTGAGGCAATTTTGAGTACAGCTCCATACAAACCAATGACCTCCTCCAAGGTCTATGGTAGTTGTGCTGTTGATGGCGTCCACCCAATCCATAAAACTATTCGGGTCAGTCAAGTTGATGGACCCTTCACCCCAGTATTCAGACTCAATTCTGGCCACAGGATCCTTCAGCATTGTCACCAGGAGGGTCTTTGGGTCGTCACGAGGTCCTCTGTAGCACATCCCTTCATCCACTTTGAAAGTGAGGTTGTGATGTTTGGCAATGTTCTCAAAGTATGTTCGAAGTGTCGTCCCACCAGCTTTGCGAAGATGCCAAAGGTGAATTGTTTCGTACTGGCTCATGTTGAAGGGATCCATGGTTGGGAGCGGTAGTGCAGTGATGTTGAGATGCTTCTGCTTCTGCTGATACTCCTGATCAGTCATTTGAATGCCGACATCCGTACCATCCTGATTCGTGTTGAAGGGCTCCATCGTTGGTAACGGCAGTGCAGTGATGTTGAGTTGCTGCTGCCTTTGCTGGTGGTCCTGATCAGTCATGACAATACCAACATCCGTACCACCCCGACTCATGTTGAAGGGCTCCATGGTTGGTAACGGTAGTGCAGTGACGTTGGGATGCTTCTGCCCAAGCTGATACTCCTGATCAGTCATGATTATGCCAACATCCGTACCACCCCGAATGCCGTTCGACTTGACCTTGACCGTTTTGACATTTTCTACCCAGTACGTATTTCCTTCTTCCGTAAGAGCCAATGCTCCCATGATGCTTATTCCAAATAGGATCAACACCCAACCTCCGATTCCGCGATAGTGAGCTTTCCTGTCTGCGTTGTCTGCAGCCGTCAATCCCTCCAACAACTTTCTCGTGTCCTCCAAGCTGTCCTTGACCATGGTGTTATCTTGCTCTCTAGCTAGAGATTTTTTTCTCGCAGGGCCCATCTTGTGGTTGTGTGGAAAGGTTGCAAGGTGCTTGATGACTGGGAGGTGGATGATGTTTCCGTACCAGATGCTCCACGGAAGCGAAGATTGTATCTTTTCTCATGCATGACCCAGCACACGGTTTATTCGCGGCAAAGGGCCATCGCTATAGAACGCTTTTGTAGAGATCAAATGTGCGATCAACTACATAGTAGAAAGTAGTACGGCTAAGTACCATCTAACGGAATCGGAAGCAAGATATGAAAACCAAACCGTTGGCCGGCCTAAATCCCAAATGGAATCACAGAAAGAAAATGTTTTCATAAACAAAGTATCATGTTATACCGAGGCTTCTCGCAGGTGTTTTGAGGCTCGGTTCTAACAACAGATCCATGGAAGCATGAAGTTAGAAGAAACCTGGAAGGGACTTTTTGTATGCCCCACTCGATCGTTTGTGTGGTCTACCGATAGTAATCCAATCTCTTTGTACCGTACCGGTTACTAGTACAGAACAATTTCGAAGAGAGAGACAGAGATATCCGCTCCAGACGATACCGTACCGTACCTCTGTGGATGAACGTGAGTGGGGGGAGAGGTGCGGAGAAGTCAATGCCCAAGATAATCTCACATCCCAGAAATGATTCAGCCTGGGAGGCGCATCTGAAGCCATCAGAATGATACTCTAGAGTACTCTCTTTCTCCTCGCTACCTCACTCCATCGTGTGTTCGCTCCCCAATGGGTGGTGGAGCTCTCTGGCCAGCGGTCTACTAAATAGCTAGAAGCCAAGTTTAACGTTGATTGTAAAATAAGTGTTTATCTTTTGTCCTGTCTAAGTGACATTCAAACCTGAGCCTCCTCTGCTCGGCATAAAGAAACGGCGACAGCCAACGCTCACTGTTTTCCCGCGCTTGGTTCTAACATGGATGAGGCGATGCTTCGGCAATTCATTGGGATGCAGGGCGCGGGTTCCACACAATTTATGTGTGGTACCACAACATCATCACCACAAAGCCTAGCTAGCTGACTTTGCAGTAGTCTACGCAGTTCGTTTGTTGCTCTGCCGCTGTGGTCATAAAGTGCCATAATTCAGGATGTCTTCTTCTTCATCATCATCCTCCAAAATAATGGAAGCATCCGTGGTGGCAGATTTGCTTTCTGCCTTGGAAGACGATGATTTGAAGGATGTTTCCTTGATTGCCAAAGATGGTCGCGAGATTAGAGCGTGTCGTTTCTTGTTGGCGGCTCGCAGCAAGATGCTCAAGCGCATGCTCTATGGTAGTTTCAAAGAGTCAACGGCAACGCAGATTGAATTGCGACAATACACGGCCACTATTTTGGAGGCAGTGGTGGAGTACTGCTACCGCAACCGAGTGCCCGCACATATTTTGACCACCGACCGTTCGGCCGAAACGATTCGGACACTGGTGCAGTTAGCTCAAGCCGCCGATTATCTGGAAATTCCAGGTCTGGTGGCCGACACGGAGGCATGGGTCCAACGTCGTGTATCGGAACATCCGCGTCTGGCATGTCCCGTCTTTGACGAAGCCGATGAAGGATCCGATCTGTTTGATTGTGCCTGTCGCATGATCCAGTGTCGACCTCATGTGGCATTGGCACCCGATGACAAGGGACAAGACGGTTCTTCCTCCTATTATGCAGGTGGGATCGAATGTCTCAAACCCAATCGCATTGAAGCACTCATGAAAGACCATGAAATTGAAGCAGGAGAACTCTTCCTGTTTGAAATGCTCAAACGATGGGTAGATCATGCCGCCGATTATCACCAGGCCGAAGCGCTGCAAGTAGCACGAGAATGTGGCAAATACTTCCGACTGCATTACATTGAACCGGACGAGCTACTTTCGACCGTTCAGAAATCAGGACTCTTCCCCGCCAACCTCATTGTCGAAGCCATCATGCGTCAAGCCCTCAAAGCTTCTCAAAATCGAGTCTGGTCCATCAATTGTCGAGGACGAGACAACAATGTCGACAGAGTCCTCGTCGAAAAAAGCGGCCATCCAGAAGTGAATGGAGTCTACTACCGAATCAAGGGGCTCAACAAGGGAAATGACGTCTACAGCAAACATGAAGTATCCTGTGGGCAGCTACTCGTATACACACTCTCGTGCACAACAAAGGATGATACCATTGAATCACGCATCTTTTGCAGCAAAGTCCTCACGCACCGGGCCATTCACAATCTACTGACACTGCACAAACAACCTGTCATTCCAGTCGCTTCCATCTTCCAACCTCTTCTTCAAGTGATTCGGATCGAAAAGCCCAAAAAGCTGCACGACAATTCGCCCCTATCCAAACTTTGCAAGGTATGTAGGTTCTTCCGAAAGAGGATGTTTGGATGTTTTTTTTTTTTACTGCAGGAATTTGTTTGCTTACAATTCACACTGATGCTCCACACCACGTACGGTAGGTGGAACTATCGGACGGCGACCACTCCATGTCAGGGACACTGGCAGAAGACCTTACCAAACTAGTGCAAGACGGATTGATCCAGGAATTCTCCTTGGTCAAGGTGCTAGCTTGCGATGCCTATGAATTGGGTGGTCGACAATGGGTCCATGTCAAAGAAGTATCCATAATAGGTGCCTGTCCGGGATGTCCATTGGGAGATCCAACGGGAGTCCGGGTGTTGGAAGATTTGGAGGGCACGTCGTTGGACAATGCTGGACTCCAAAAGCTTTACTCTTGCTACTACCCGGTCGATCAACAAGCCAAGGATTCCAAGATCCCTCGTAAAGGCTGGAACGTGGAAGAGTTTGGAGTGGAACCGGTGCCACGATGTACTCTCATCCCGGCAACCTCGAGACGGTTTGGGGACCTGTCGACGTGCAATTCAAATGATGAAGGCGACTCGTCATAGCCGAAACAAAACAACACGACAGCGTACAATCAAATCAAATCAAATCAATGCGAGTTTCCGATATATGATGGTAAGATGGAAGCTCACAACAACAACAACAACAACAACAACAACAACACAAGTCACAAGATTGCAATGGATCGGTTTTGGCGTTCAAAGGCTCCATTGTGACACACACGGTAGAAGGTAAACAAATGTAAAATGTAGTGGTAGAGGGTCATGTGAGTACTAAGCCTTGGGATCATAGGTAAAAAATTTCACTCGCTTTGTTAGTAGCTGCGCGTGTAGTCTAGCCCGAACGTGCAGTACCGGTACAGAAGGCCAACAACGTCGAAGCGGATGTTGCTTGCAAGCCTGAGACCCGAGGAGGAGTTTGAGTGACGAAGCCGAGACGATACGTAGGGCTAAAATGATGGGTATCAAAGCGTTGCTCTTTGAAGTGATGCATTCCAGCTGGTAGCAAGTGCAGGAAAACAGCCAACGAGAGAAGGAAAGAGCCAACGCGTTTGCGAAAGAAGAACATCAACGGGCTACTAGTATCGGTACCCGCACCACTGAAGACTATGTTCGGTCCGAATCCGGGGTCTCGATGATCCCCTCCCTCAACACACGGCAGTTCCGTTGAAGCAAGCACTGGAGCATGAGCCTCCTTCCAACCTTCTTGTCATGATTGTCCGGCCCCACCACGTCGCTCCGCGGGGCACGCGGTTTGGCACCGTCCGGTACCGTGTGGTGCGTTGCTTGGCCAGACCTACTAGATCTTCATTACATGTAGCCAGAAATGGAGCAAAAACGAGGTAGCACGCCGCAAAGCAGTATCCGAAAGAAGAGGGCTACAGGTACCGCTGATCTTGCTAGCTACGGTAGTTGGATGAAGTTGGTTCCGCATTCACGGTCTCGATGATCCCACTTCCCCGCTACTAGACTATCGTACCGGTTGTGCCTCGACGACGTCAAACACTGGTTTTGGGAGCGAGTGCACCTCACGTTCACAGTCCTCACACTACCGGTACTGGTACGTCGGCAAAACAAATTTATTTCCATCAGTACAAAATTGAGCACCCCAGGGTATCTGTACCGGTACGAACCGGCAAAGGAGAGGCCCGACTACAAAGAATCGGATCGGCATGTATGAAAAACAACTGCTAATTGACTACTTTATCATGCCTTTTCTTGCATGACATTGCTACTAGATATCACCGTACGTCAGTGCAGGTTGTTGATTCCGCTCGTTCGTCCACAAAATAAAAACAAGTCGAGCTTTTGGGTGCTGTTTGTCGTGTTGCGCGTGCCATTTGTTTATTTTGCTTCCTCCTTGTACAAGCACTCCATGAGACTCTTTGTGAGTTCCTCTCGATTCAAGTCCTTACCAATAAAGACGAATTTGTTTTCACGGACTTCATCCTTGGCCCATGGTTCCTTTGCGGGTCCAAAGTTGATTTGTTCGTGGACTCCCTGAAACACGAATTTGGTGTCCCCCTGTCCATGAAAACTGAGCAATCCCTTGGTTCTGTAGAGATCGGCGGCACGTTCCTTGAGCAAGTCCATCATGAACATGTTGAACCACTGGGCATGCAAATTGCCTTGGAATTTGATTCCTACACTCTGTACGAGATCCGTGTTGTGCTTGCTGGTTTCGTAGTTCTCAAAGAATTCGGGATCGTAATTGAGAATGGATTCCATATTGAACGAGTTGAGTCCCAGAATCTTTTCGAGCGGAGCCCTACTTTTTTCCGTTTCAATGACCGTGGCAAACTTGTTGATGGTGGCCAGACGGTCCTTGAGTATTTTCTTTTCTTCCGGCGTCACCAAGTCGATTTTGTTGAGCAAGATTTTGTCGGCAAAGGCGACCTGCTGCAGTGCCTCGTTGACATTGCCTTCGGGCTTTACTTCGTCCAAGTGAGCCGTCACGTGCTTGCAATCGGCCAAGCAGACAATGCTGTCAATGTAGTAGTTTTCGCTCATTTTGGAATTGGTCTGGACCGTGTAGACAATGGGAGCGGGATCGGCCAATCCAGTGGTTTCCAATAGAATGGCGTGAAACTCCTTGCGGCGCTTGGTCAATTGACCCAATGTGCGGACCAAATCACCACGCACAGAGCAGCACACGCAGCCATTGTCCATTGTGATTAGATCCTCCGGAGCATCCAAAGATTCCGCGACTGTTCGTTCAGTCGTTCAGTCAGCGAGCGAGAGAGAAAGCGAGAAAGGAATTGTCGTGTAGCAATTGTCATGGAACAGAACGGAAGCGTGGAAGATGAGATGAGGTGGAAGCGGAACAGAATGAGTGAGCACGACAACAAACAGACAAACCCCATCCTTTCCCACACCACTCAACTCAATGACTCTTTCCCTTTTCGCATCAATACTTACCGAGACCGTCATCAATAGAAACTTCCCCAAATTCATTTTCCAAGACGCAAATCTTCCATTCGTTCTGTTCCTTCAAAATGTAATTGACAAAGGTTGTCTTTCCAGCACCCAAAAAGCCCGTAATCACAGTGATGGGGGTGAGACCTTCCTTGTTGGTTGACATGTTGCTTGCTTGGTGTTTGAGTGAGTGTTTCTTTAGAAGTATCGGTTGTGTTTCGGTGTGTTGCCGAGAAAATTGTGACTGCTGTCGGCTCATGGCCTCATGGACGGTGTTGAGAGGCAGTTTCTTCCATTGGCTTCTTTGCGGGATCCTAGCAAGAGGTCACAAATCGGAAGCAAATATGGATTGAATTCAATCCTCAAGCGACCTTGCAGTGTTGCCGTAACAATAACCCATCCAGTCGTACCTGCTTTCCTGATTTCTCATTTCTACAAGTATTAAATCACAATAAATTAGTATTATTCTCGCTCACCAAATTGGCATGTTTCAGTGGTGTATCCCAAGAGGTCGGAATCTTACTCAGGCTAACGCAGGGATACTTGCATTGTTTACCGCTGACCGTAGTTGTAGAAGTTGGTGGTGCTGCGAGGCTCAACAAGGTATCGTACAGCTTCTAAAATTGACTGTGACGGTGCCGACAATTCAGTTCAATATCCAGTACCTGGTAGAGGCCAGCCAAGTGTTTTGGGCAGTGGTCTGATCTGATGGTCGTACCGGTAGGTACCCGTACCGGTGCCTTTCTTGGCAGCTTCGTTGCTGGTGTGGGAGCAACGTGAACCCCACCTCATCAATTCATTCTGTTCACACAAGCTAGACTGAGCACTCTGAAGGGCCATCCAACCAATACTCAAGAGTAATGGATGCAGTTTTGGGAAAAGTGATAGCTACCCATCGTTGCCGTTTTGGTCCAACAACATCGGATGGCCTCCATGGGCACGGTTTGACACTGCTATTTCACTATTTTTGCGATCCTTTGATCCGATTGACTGGAACGATAGGTTGTGTAATGCTCTTTCTAATGCGCTCGAAAGTGTTCATCTGACGCAATGTTCATGACTGTTGAGTCCAGACTGAGTCAAACAAAGAAAGACGCGTCACGTTGGATCCACGATCTTTTGAGTGGCGCTTTGGGCTTCGCTTCGGGAGGTTCCTGGGAACCCATCACAGCCGCTGCTGTCTGTCGCTCCTGTTGCACCAGTCTCTTCCGGCTCAATCATCTGTCTTCTCAACAATAGCATAGGCATAGAAGGAGTGGTGACCATGATTGCGGCAACGTCTACATCCAAGCTCACGACGGTAAGTTGATTTATGATCGTTGCCTCTTCCTTTATCTGTATCGGTATCGGAATGGGTAGCAATAGCAATGGAACAATCATTTCTGTTGGTACCATAGATATGCCAGTCACTAGTAGCCGATGATTAGTCTCTGTAGCTATGAGATTGCCGAGTGAGTGAATTACCAGAATGACTAACCTTTGTCGTTCAAACAATTAATTCTCTTAGGCTGCACGATCTAGTGCAGTCCGTGCCTTGTCTACCAGCAGTGCTTCCCTCAAAGCCGGTGGTGCCGCTCCCACTAGCGCCGCCAAGGAACGCATCAAGTACTTTAAGGTCTACCGATATGACCCAGAGCACAACCAGGCTCCCTACTTGAGTACCTTCCCCGTCGATTTGAACGAATGTGGTCCCATGGTGTTGGATGCCTTGATTAAAATCAAAAATGAACAGGATCCCACCTTGACATTTCGTCGTTCCTGTCGCGAAGGCATTTGTGGATCTTGTGCCATGAACATTGACGGATCCAACACACTGGCCTGTTTGTCGTATATTGATCAGGATAGTCCCAACAAGGCGTCCAAAATTTACCCCCTCCCTCACATGTACGTCGTCAAGGATTTGGTACCCGACATGGCCAACTTTTACGAACAGTACCGTTCCATTGAACCCTGGTTGCAGTCCGATCAGCCCAAGGAAGACGGCAAGGAACACTTGCAAACCATTGAAGATAGGGCCAAACTAGACGGCATGTACGAATGCATCTTGTGTGCCTGCTGCTCCACTTCTTGCCCCAGCTATTGGTGGAATGCCGACAAGTACCTGGGACCTGCCGTTCTCATGCAAGCCTATCGATGGATTCAGGATTCTCGTGATAGCAAGACCAAGGAACGATTGAACGATCTGGACGATGCCTTTAAATTGTACCGCTGTCATACCATCATGAACTGTACCAAGGTCTGCCCCAAGCATTTGAACCCAGGAAAGGCCATTGCCCAAATCAAGAAAAAGTTGGCGCATTAGTTATAATTGCAGGGAGGTAACATTATTCCTTTGGAAGTCGAGAGCAATTGGTAGAACAGTCGACAATTGAACAAATAAGAAGCGACTGGATTCAAAAGTATGTGGACATTGATCTTGTCGAACGGGCTTGATGGAATGGAACGACAAGGTGATTTGATTCGTAGCGATAAACGATACTCAGTAGTAGATAAACAAAACAACTCAAGCAAGACGAACACCGAGCCTCCAGAGTACATCTATCTAGCTAGCTGACTTTGAAACAGTGTCCTCTTCTGCCTACGGCGGTGCAGAGATATATATTATGGTTTTGCTTATCAACCATGTATGCCATACATGTACATGTACTATGCCAACTTGCTACTTTAGCTATCAAACAAGATCTTTCCAATTCTGATTGTAGAAGTACATGTATCACTAAGAAAGAATTGTGCCCCAGATCTGGTTGTAGACAGTGTCATTGGGGTCCGCCACGAACAGAGAATGAAAAAAGTGATACATGGGCATAATGCCCAACAGCGTTCCAACCAAGAGACCCACTCCAAACTTGCCAAACATGGCTTCATTATGAAAAGGATAGAGCATGGCATTGCGGAACTTTTCCATCGAATCGACGGGTGGATTGGCCGTGACCAGAGACAGGAACGCCGCCAGTACCATGGGTCCAACGGAAACAATCAAGGCAGCCACAGAAGCTTGCATCCAAAAGGGTTTGTTGTTCTCGTCGTCACTCCGATGAATGGCCACATACATGACAAAGGCTGGCAATCCCAAACTGCTCACGGTCATGTACAACATTTGATCCCACGAAGGTAGACCCAGGAGTGTGGATTTGGCGTCGGCGCGTGCGGTCAGAATCGGACTCCCCTCTTGACTTTTGCACTCGGTCGCATCTCCGTCGTACTTTTTGGTTTGCGGAGCCATGGTTTCTCGAAAGCACCCGAACCACCGATCAAAGGGTGTTCCCGGTGTCCCGTAGTTGCATTCAAAGTATCGGTGATGGCCCTGAAGGAAACAAGAAATAAACGCAATCGGTCAGCAACACAGATAGACGGATGAAACGTCAACGGATTGACAAACTTACAGCATGGAATTGATCCGAATGCCCTTTAATAGCAAAAGAAATATACCAACGTAGACAGGTACCGGTATGTCAGCAATGATGACACGGATAGATGGATGCAACGATAGCAGCGGCTTGACAAACTAACTTACAGTGATCTTCCCACCCCGAGTGTCCCGCTCCAGGACTCAAGATCAAATGAATGCCATTCCAGAGAAACTGAAAGGGAGAGGCGTACCAATACACTGATGGCGCAATACTGGAGTAATAGTAGAGATGCTCGGAAGGTGACATGCAGAGTCCCGAGAAAGGTTCAATGTCCGTGTTTCGGTGGTGAAGGGAATGAATATACTTGTATAAGCATCGAATATGGATGATTCGATGTGCAAAGAAGAAATGTGTCTCACGGAAAAAGGGAACGAATACGGCGCAAAAGAAGAAATTGGCCACCCCCTTGATGCCTGTGGTCAAAATTTCATCATCGCTCTGATATCCAATGCGTCCGGTGGCATACAAATCTAGCATGATCATTTCCCAGCCAGTCCATTGGAGGGCTCCCAAGAAGCAATACCAAACATTATGGCAGACTTGGGTCCATTTGTAGACCCGTCCAGTGGCAAAAGGACGCTTGGACATGCCCATCCAGTACAGCACTACATGCCAGAATCCATAGTATCCCATGACCAAAAACACATTTAGGGAAGCTCGTTGAAGATACCAATCCAATGTCCAACCATGCTCGCGAAAGGTGTCCAAATCGTAGGGTGCCAGCACGTAGACCAGAGCCGCAATGATGATCCACACCAAGTTGGGACTAAAGAGAATGGCCTGGCCGGTAAAGATGGAAACGAAATCTGGGGTGCCTTGGTTGAGTTCCCATTGAGAAGTCGTTCCAGGAGGCAATGACAAATCCACCCATGCGGGGGCTCGGAAAAAGGAAAAGTCCACCATGCCTCCGATACTCCCCAGCTTTTTCATTAAATCAAACTTGGGTGGTTCTTCGTTGGAGGTGGCAGTCTTCTTCTTCGTCTCATCAGGGTTGCTTTCAGAGGCTGGCTCCTTGTTAGTCGACTTGGCGGCGTGTCTCTGCGTTAGCGTGTTTGATTCCGTCATGGTTGTTATTCATGTGCTCACCAGGGACCAGGTTTAGAGAAGACAACTAACTTATCAAAGAGAAGAAGCTGATTGCTGTTGTCTCTTGATGTGTTGATGTGCATCCACAACGGTCGAAAGGAGAACAACTTGTCAAACGGTACAAAAAGATCCAACCGCGATTGGTTAGTCCCGGAACTGGTCCACACCCAAAGCAAAGATCAGATCTCAAGAAGCGGCAGCGCACCGTCGGCTTCCTCACAGCACAGTACATACCGGTAGCCGGTAGCTAAGTTGCCCTCTCAAGCAAGCATACAAGGGGCATCCATACAGAATTAGGTCTACAAGCCTAGAGTAAATCAAAGAGGCACCCAATGGGTCAACCCTGCTTTTATGCGACTCGACTCGACTCGACTCGTTCCGTCTTTCAACTTTCTCTAGCTAGCTAGTGGGTTTTGGCCTTAGCCCAAGGGACTGTGACCATGAGACGAGCATTGCTGGCTGGGCCCAACAAGATTCCAAGCCAAACTCATCCCTTCGTGTTCGTGACAACTAAGCAACAACAGAGCTTTGTTCTTTCGGCGCCTTTAGCTAGAGGGAGTCCAAGGAGGTACATTTTGTTTACCGATAACATAAAAAAAAACTTGTAGTTTAGAGTAGATCTATTGTGCTGTGTGCAAAAGGTACCTTAGCAACAACTAGCTGGCTTGCACCTCACTTTCCTTCCCTGAAATCGTGGTATTAATAGTCCGAAACACACGGATGTCCGGTACGGGTAGGTGGCGTCCTCCAGCAATTTGTATCCATGACTGACTACTGTAGATCTGAGTGTCGAAATGGCGTTCTCATGGAGATGTTTTCCATCAGCACTCTGCAATGTCCAAGAAACGAAGGCAAAGTAAACCAACACATTTTTTATTCGATTCACTTCCGCATTCTACATCCCCAAAGTTCATCCATTGCATCCTAAAGCATCCTATAGAAGATGAAGGCTGGACTGTTGGCTGCCGTTGCCTTTGACCTTGTGGCCCGTGTGCAAACCCAAGTTGGTGGAAGCATCTGCACCTGGGCACCCAACTACAACTGCTACCAAGGCGGTTGGCCGGAGTGTTGCAGCGAAGGATCAGGCGAATCTTGCCCAACTGCTGAGCAGCCACCATGTGAAATTACCGGAGGCTCTTACTGTACTTGGTGAGTTTTCTTGGTTCTTATGTTTGAATACATGGTGTCCGTGGTTGACGCTTTTTTTATCCTAACTAATGACAAATACTCTACCAAATTCGCATCTCGAATGACTTCTCAAGGGCTCCCAACTATGGATGCTTTTCAGGTGGATGGCCGGCTTGTTGCGATAGTGATCCTTCAACTTGTCCCGAGACCCGTCCTGGCTGCGATGCTGTAACCGGTTCTTCCTATTGCACCAATGCCCCAGATCATGATTGCTGGAGGTGAGCGAGTTTTGGATAGGTTTGACATCTTCTATCGTGCTCGAATGCTCAATCAATCATTTTGTCGTGTCCGTCATTTTTCTGTGGTGCATTTGGATCTGTCTCAGCGGTGGATGGCCAGAGTGTTGCTTAACTGAGGGTGAGGCATGCCCAGAAGAGCAACCTGCTTGCACCATTCTTGGAGCGAGTTATTGCACGTATGCTCCCAACTACAAATGCTGGACAGGAGGCTGGCCCCCATGCTGCTCAGTCGATGCGGCCTCTTGCCCCGAAACGGCTTCAGATTGTGATGTCGAGCTGACAGGGGCGTCCTACTGTACCAATGCACCTGATTACAGTTGCTACATTGGCGGATGGCCCGGCTGTTGCTCACAGAACGAAACTGCTTGCACGGACACAGCACCCTCCTGTGAGATTTCTGGGTCTGATTTCCAAAGTGTGCCTTTGACTCCTTCAGGCAGCTCGCCAAATACAACTGAGGACGACGCTCCAGCGGATGGTGCTACCGATGCCCCGCCGGCTCTATCTAGTGGTGCTACCGATGCCCCGGCTCCAGCTGATGGTGCTACCGATGCTCCTGCTGACTCGCCTTCTTCTGGGGCCGTTTCCACAACGGCCAGCAATACAATCTTGACCGCTGTGCCCATGCTCATTTCTTGGATGGTAACGTTCTCCGCTAGCTTGTGAACGAGGACAATCCAGTGAGTGACAGTTGTGCTGATGTGGATGAGAAACAAAAATGAAAAGAGTGGAAGTCGTTTAATGGACCGCGTTGCATTGTTTGCAGCAAGCTGCGGAGATAATATTCTTGAGATAGCGTCGTAATGTTGTAGGATTGTGCTGTCTTAGTTGCAGCTTAGGATATCGGTACCATCGTGCGAGAAGCGTCAAGAAACTATAAACCAATACATCGTTTTGCTTGGCAGGCCAGAGGATTACCAAATCTCTTCTATCAGGTCACCAAGCTCCTTGATAACTGCTGCTACTGACGCATGGCTTTCGTCAAAGTTATACAGCTGCTTTCGGATCTCAAGAGCTTCCTTGAGTGATGCCTGTGCCTTCATCAAGTTTCGTTCTTCGCGGGCAACTCTGGCTATCGTTTCATGGGTCTCGGCGACTTGTGCTGTCCCTGGAGTATACCTTAGTCGTGTCTCCAGTACAATGTCGAGAATTTTCAATGCCTCCTCTTTCCTTTCTAAGCCAACTAATGATGTAGCCATGCTAAACATTGTTCTGGCGACTTCCATACGACTGCAAGGCATTTCGTCACTGAGCTCGTCGTGGTCGTCATCGTCATCGTCATCACAGCGGTAGGCATTAAGGCTTTGTTGAAAGAACTTCAGTGCAAGAGCATGGTTTGAAGATTTTTGGTGGATTGATCCAATCTCACGGAGAACGAATGCAAGAAACATTTTCTCTGCCACGGGCGTCGACTCATTGCTTGCTGACAACCTCCTAATGCGTTCCTGCATCGTGTCATGCGCCCTGTCGAAAAGCGATATGCATTCTTGGGGACCGCACTCCTTGCTGCAGCACAACTTGATTCCTCTTGTCGCAAAGAGTCGGGCACGATTCCATTCTTCGTCGTCTTCCTGTCCATCAGAAAGACGCATTTCCTCAAAGAGAGCAATTGCTTGATCCAAATGATGCTCAGTCAGTGAAGAATCATCCTCAAGGTGCATAAGGCACATTCCCATATGCTGATGCACGGTAGCAAGCTCCGTGCTGTCTTCGCCGTACTCTGCCTGTTTATACAACAGAGCAAATTCATAGCACTTGAGTGCCAGTTCCCACGAGGAAAGTTTTAGGTAGAGATCGCCCATTCGCTCCTGGATGTCTCCAATTTGATCCCGATGCAAGCGTGGTTTGTGACGCAGCATGCCCATCGCCATCTCGTATCCCTTCTGGGCATCAGATAGTTCACCGATCAAGACGAAGGTATCGCTCAATGAGGTTAGAGTTTTGGCGCAGAGACTGTGGTTCCCGTAGAGTTGCCGCCTGGTGCTAAGGCATCCGGTAAAGAAGTGAATGGCATCCTCATGCATTTGCACTTTCAAATGTAAGATTCCAAGGGCGTGCGATAAGGCGGCCGTAGTTTCTGTATGTTCGCCAACGGACAAGATATATGCATCTCGACTAGATTCCCAGAATGGAATGGCTTCATTCCAGTAGCCCATGTCACAGAGTGATGCTCCAAGTTTTAAGAAGGCACGCCCAAGCTCGCGAGATTCGGTGTTTGCGACTTCATCGTTTGCAAAGCTCCCAACCTCGACTTTCTTCTCGTCTTGCAACTCTCTGGTGGTTGATTGTTCCTTCATCAAGTCTGCCAAATAGCCGCCTAGAAGTTTCCACGTCTTCAGAACTGTCTCCTTTTGATTCCAGGGGCCAGCGCCCAGCTCCGTCTGCAATTGTGACATGTCACTGATCAGACTTGAAGTAGCAAACTCAACACCAAAATGAAACACACGCTCGTGAAGAAAGCTTCTCGTATGGAGTATTTGAATGGCCTTCTGGTAGAGGCCGCCTCGTATCATGTGCCCAGGAAGGCTTTGGAGGGCATAGCTCAACATTGGAAACCGATCCCGTGGTGCGGTCCAACCCCAAACAACATCCTTCGTGGAATCGTCAAATGATCCGGTTGCAACTGATTCATCCATGGGGGACATGAACAACGTCCGCAAAAGATCGTCGGCGAATTCACCGTTCCAAATTCGAGCCAACTCCTTTCCTTCTAGATCCTCGAGTTCAGAAGAAGCAAAATCCTTGTGAATTGCATGTGCCAATCTGACACACCAACCGTCCGAACCTTCGACGTCGTGACGGCGTGTGTTGAGCTTAAGCTTTTGTAGAAATCCGAGGTTGATGAGGTGCAATCGTACACTTGCCGGCGAAAGCGTGGCGCCTAGCTGTCGTAGAACGCAATGAAACAGACAATCGACGACCGAGACGGGCACCTCAGGCGCATCCGACGACGAAGGATTGCAGTATGGTGTGCTCGAGGGAACAAGTGGGTCTGATTTGGCATCTTGACTGCAAAACACAGTCCCGAAGGCCGAGAGACATATTCGGATCGGTCGAGATTGTGTCCCCACTTGATCGTCAATGCAATGCCTGAGTACTAGACCTGATGTCAAGCAAGACTCACAAGACTCATTGAGGCGCCTCTCCAAGGAGGCAACAGTCTTTGCGATGAAAGACATCCTTTCCTCGAGCCCTTGGCTACGACATTTGTTTTCCACAAGCCTCCTTACCGGTGACAATAATATCGGCTTCAAATGACCCAACATGCGGATGGCTCTTCTGGCGTCTTCAACACATGCTGATTGCTCATCAAACACGGTCATGGCACTCAGCATTTGGATGGCTTCCACAGGACTCAGAGCTTCCAATTCAACAGTGTCAGCGGGGGCAACCAACGTGGGATTCCTTGACGTGACCAACAAAGAGAATTCTTGTCTGGACGGAAATGATGGGCCCTGAAACCGTTGATTGGGACAGAACCTGAACCATCGAAGAGTTTCATTGTCAACGTTATCTAGAATCAACAAGACACGCTTCTTGCAAAGAAATGCTTCAACCAGATCAAAACAATGAGCCTTGAATCCGTCCTCTACAAGGTCACTGGTGCGGTTTGGATGGCTTTCATCCAGGGAAGGTATCATTTCTGGAAATTCTGGCCAGCCGTTGTCTTCTGCTGTGCTGCCGCAGCCACTGTTTCTTCCTGTAGCCTGAATCTGATTCAAGAGTTCTCCGAGCATGTATTTGTATCTAGCGTAACTGAGATGCTGCCGTTTTGTAGCAGCACCATATTGATGCTTTGGGAACGATAGCCACACCACTCCATCCTTGTAGTGCTTGCGAATGTCTTGTCTATGTGCTATGAGAGCTGCAATGGTTGTCGCCCCATTTCCTCCAAGGCCCTCTTTTCCCTCTTGAGCTTTGTAGTTGCTGCAAAGACCACCGGGAACAATTGCCACGAGGTGCTCTTTTGCTTGACCACCCCATTCTATGTGATGACCTTGACCATGACTTGACGGATTTTTGGAATGGTGATAGTCGTCCAGAAACGTCGACAGCGTATCCAGGCTGGAAATGGAATCGTCACTCTTCTTTCTTTCTGCAGCAACCTGGCCTTCGGTACTGGGCAGTAAGCGTCTCACGACTCGAGACTGGACTTGTTGCCTTGGCAATATCGATGATGTCCCAGAGAGAGCATCTTGGGCACCGTTCGGAATTGGTGTCATTCCTTCTTCAGAGTACAGCGTCGACGAGTAGTCAGAAATGGCAGTGGATGAGCACCGACCGCTGTGGTCAACCATCTCGTCCTTGTTCTTTTCGTGGAAGCTTTGAAAGGTTTGTCGCGTCGAGAGCGCCTGGTACCAATCCCGCAACGAAGCGTCCATGGTCATTTTCTGAAGCTGACTCGGATGCACAGGGCACCACTGATCCATGGATATCAAGACTTCATAGCATGTTTCCCTGAACATGGCTTCTGTCATCTTGTTAGGTTCAAATAGTTCATTCTGAACTTGATCCTCGTATAGGAAGGCCAGTGTTTCCAGCTCATGAATGTGTCCGGTTGCTTGCCACGCCGATTGTAGATTGGTGGATATGATGCTCCCAGATTGATTGTTGTCCGCCATCATCAAATCATCAAGCCGTAACTTCAAAGTAGTCAGTGGTGACTCTTCTTCAGCACCACTGCAAACTGTAAAAAGCAGTTGAGCGGCTTCATGTTTGAGCATTTCGTGGAGTGTTGCGTGCACGGTCTCGCTGCGATCTGTCCAAGTCTCTGATAGTTCTTCTTCCCTGCTGCTGCTGCTAGAAGACGGAGTGTATCGACGGAGGAACAATGCCAACAAATTGCAGAGGAATGATGCATGGCATAGACGACTGAGCGGGTACGTTCGCAGCATTGCATGGTTCTCCTGAAAGGTTGTGTTTCGTAGCATTGGAAGGATGATCTTTGTAAAGAGCTCGTCGGCTCTGGATTGATATCGAAGAATAGTTGTCAAGAGCGCAACAGTCTGTCCCATTTCTGTGTTTGCGTTCTTGTCTTTGTCATGATGAAACGTACTTAGCAACTCGAACTCCTCTGAAAAGTCCGAGTATAGTCCCGTGGCAGTCTGTATTCCTTCGAACAACCTCCTCCTTGCCAAGTGGAAGAGCTCCTTGCGGAAACCATAGGATGCAGCATGAACACTCTTCTTCTTGGTCGTCACCACTGTCAAATCCAACGTGGTGGGTACTGCACCGCGGCGTCCCTCAGACTGTCTTGGCTGATCTTTCATTCCGTCGCCCATTGTCGCAAGGTGTTTATTCGTCTTTTGCCTTTGATTGTTGACATGTTCGACCTCAAAAGGGAATTTGCATACGGCATGATGACGGAATAGGCTTTGTTGACTGGGTTCAAATTACAAATATTCTACATCCCAATAGTAAAATCGTCCAGGCTCCGACGAAAAGTGGTTGTCTCAGCGCGAAATGTCATTGCTCGTTCATTTCGAAGGAGACGTGGGAGTGCTTCAAAGGGCAACTGTGGGACTTTTTTTTAATCATGGCGCCAACTCCAAGAAGCGCACCCAAGGCGAAGCTTGGTTTCTGTTTCGTCTCATATTTTCCTTGGTCCCAACAGCTATCCCAAGAAGACACGGACGCAGATGCTTCCACAATGACAAAAGATGTTGTCTCTGCTGCTACCCTTCTTCTTGCTGCTCACCAGCACAAGAACGACCACTTGCACTCGTACCGGTATCAATGATGACAATGATGTGATTCAATGGCGAGGCAACATTGCTCACACCGCCCATTTTAACGTCACTCTGCTTCCTGGCCAACCCCGTCAATTGTATCGCCATCACGGTCTCAACAAGGGCGTTCATTCGGCTGCCAAATCCAGTCCAGTGGTCTTGGCCGACGGGGAAACCTTCTTGCAGGCTGGTGACACTGGTATCCTGTATCGCATCGAGATTGCTACTGGCCAACCCCTGTGGGCGGCAGCACAATTGGGGTTTTCTAGCTTTGGCTACCATTCCACGCCCTGTGCCATTTATCGAGATGATGACGATAATACACCAGATTTGGCCATTATCGGGAGTTATGATGGAGTTCTCTCCGCCTTTGATTTGGAGACGGGCCATCGAGTATGGGAAACCTCGGTCGGAGAGCATATAGGTATGAACACAAAACAAAACAAGACAAAACAGGAGAGTCGCTACTATGCCCGGCGACTGACACTTTGGTTGTGCTCTATTATCCAGGTGCTAGCCCCACATGTACTAGTTCCTTTATCTACATTGCGGTAGAATTCAGCACCCCTCGTGCCGCCGGTGGTGTCTGCAAGGTCCAAGTCGACACGGGAGACAAAATTTGGTGTAGCTATACTATGGGCAGTCATTCGCATTGCACAGCCGGTGTGGACTATCAGCACAATGTGGTGGTGGCCGGCTCCAACGACAATTATCTGCATGTCTTTCGAGAAACCGATGGAGTCACATTGGCCAAATACAATACCAGTGGGGCCATCAAGGGACCCATACTCATGCATCACGGATTTGCCATTTTTGGAAGTTGGAGTGGAAACATCTTTGCCATTGACATTAGTCATTTGGCCTCCAAGGTACCCACCACAGCCACGGCCGATACCATTCAAATCGAACGAGGACCAGGACTCTACAAATGGCCACCCATAGAATCTGACAAAAAGTTCATGTCAGGAGTTGCATTAGACCCCACCACCAATCTGCTGTATACGGGAGGACATGATTACAAGATCCGATGCATCGATTTCCACACTGGCAAGGTCCGGTGGGAATACCAGACCAACAGCTACATTCTGTCATCACCTATTGTACTCAACAATGCCATTCTCTCCGGGTCATCCGATGGATACGTCTATGCCCTTGACAAGGCCACTGGGAAGGCACTCTGGAGCTACATTTTAGGACGAACGGGAAGGATTACAGCATCGGTCGATGTGTCCCACGATGGCAAGTACATTCTATATGCCTCGGACTCGTACGGATTTACCGCTAAAAACCAATGCAAAGGAAAACCAGGTTCACTGCATGTCCTAGAAATTCGGGAAACGGATGCAAGTGGCTCCATGCACGAAGAGGTTGCCGTCGACGACAATAAGGAAGAAGTCAGCGATGAAGACAATGACAACGACAAAAAGGTGGACAGCGCCAAAGCAAAGTCCGACGAAGGGTTAAAAGATGAACTATAGGACAGCGGAATATCTGGATGGTCTTTGGTGCATGACAATGCAATTTTTGATCTGTGGTGCTGCAAGGAATCACATTTGCTGGCTAAAGTGATCGGATGCTTGCAACGGCAAAGGGTAACATAGATCAAAACCACGAGATTGACATCAAAAACAATTCTTTACAGCTCCCTAAGGATGTAGATCGAAGCCACCCTGAGGACCCTCGACTCTTATGCCAGAGCCTTAGATATCACCAAGCCTCTGTTTTAAAAGGCAGCTCTCGCCGATAGTAGAATAGCTAGATCTGGCTAGCCAAAAAGCGCCGGTAGTCAGCCCACCAACTGCCTCATCAGCACCGCTCACCTTGTACTCGTGCAGGCAGGTGGGCCTCTTGTATCGCCGTTGTAGGGGCGGTGTACTGTACGTGGATGTTGGTTTGATTTTGGCTGAAATTTGGTCTCCTGAAGGTATACACAGTTGAGAGGCTTGAAGAGCCCGATCCTGTTACAGGGAGTTTCAGGAAGGAATAACATGTGTTTCCCTAAGAAGTAACTCAGTAATTTACATTGTAGAGTTTAGGACTAGTTTACGTCCTTTGAAGTGTTTCCTTAAAAAAATGCTCCAAAAACTGCCAGAATTTGTCACCAGAGTATAGCCAGTTGCTTTTCATCCTCGCCGAATCACAAAGAAACGTCCAGAACCAGGGCAGCCAATCTCATGAAGGTACTTCATCATTTCTAGATCGCCACCTATTGCAGCTCTGTCACATGTGATTTCATCCCACGGACAACCATTTTCATGTGCATATTTCAGGCATTTCAAATGGCCATTTTTTGCAGCCTCACTGCATGTGTTTCCATCCCATGGACATCCATTTTCATGGGCATATTTGAGGCAATCTAAATGGCCATTGTACGCAGCCCACGTGCATGTGAGCTCAGTCCATGGACATCCATTTTCATGGGCGTACTTGAGGCAATCCAAGTGACCATTTTTAGTAGCATGGATGCAGGTGTGTCGATCCAATGGACAATCGTTTTCATGTGCATATTTCAGGCATTTCAAATGGCCATTTCTAGCAGCTTCACTGCATGTGTTTCCATCCCATGGACAACCGTTTTCATGCGCATATTTCAGAATTTTCAAATGACCATTTTCAGCCGCAGCTTCACATGTATCACCATCCCATGGACAACCGTTTTCATGGGCGTACTTGAGGCAATCCAAGTGACCATTTTTAGCAGCCTTGGTGCAGGTGTGTCGATCCCACGGACAATTGTTTTCATGTGCATATTTCAGGCATTTCAAATGGCCATTTTCAGCAGCAGCTGCACATGTATCATCATTCCAAGGACAACCGTTTTCATCAGCATATTTGAGGCACTCCAAGTGGCCATTCTCGGCAGCCCTGTGACATGTGTTTCTATTCCAAGGACAGCCATGATTGAAAGCAAACTTGAGGCATTCCAAATGACCATTTTCAGCAGCCTTGTGACATGTGTTTTCATCCCAAGGACAGTCATGATTGAAAGCAAATTTTAGGACTTGCAAGTGACCATTCTCGGCCGCATCACTGCATGTGACTTCGTCCCAATCGAATCCCTTGTCGTGGGCCCATTGAAAAGCTTGAATACAACCTGCTCTGGCAGCCGCAGCACAAACCATGACACCATCAATCTGGCTGCCAGACCCAGTACTACGGTGCCTGTACCAATCCTCTGCTCGAGAAAGACTAGAAAAGACTGCTTCGAGGAGAGTATCCGTGCTTGATATTGAGACGTCTTCAAATTCATCGGTGTCCACATGGTATTCACTTTTCTTTGGAGGATTCTCCACAGCTCCACAATAAGCCAAATAGAGATCTTTCATTTTATGGCTGACTGGAGCCACAAAGGCAAAATGTCCCATGCCCAAAAACGGGAAGATCTGGTTGGTCCACAAATCCTCGTGCCGCAAGCAGGAGTCATCCTCGGCAAGCCTGACATTGGTAGTTGCCTGTTGGACAACTGAATTCACCTGTTTTTGTAAGGCCAATGCAATCTCAAGCTCCTGTGTTGCATCCGTTTTGCTTCCACCTGTGCCGCTGATGAATTGGAGTTGCTGAAGGAGAGAGGACATGGCTTGGGATGCATCTTGACTATAAACCTTGATAGATTGCTTTGCTCGCTTTTGTGGATCGGGTGATACTGAGGCGCATTTTGATAAGGCTCTCTTGCCAATGTCTTCCTCCATCTTTGTTTGTTTGATATCTTTTTATGGTTAGTAGTCTACGGGGGTTACTCTTGTTGTTATGGCGGCGCCACCACCGCCGTATCAGGTGTACATCCTACCGGTACGAGGTACTAGTACTGGTACGTACCTGGTACCATTACTGACAATGGCAGCACAGAGCACCGCGGCAGCATTGGATGGATCTTTTGAAAGCCAGCAAGGCTGTTTTACAGACAGGCGAAAATTGCCCCCGGCATTGAAGCCCAAGCACAAGACCAACCACAACATCGGCAACCATACTAGTACTTGTGGTAAAGCATACAAAGCCTGGATCGTCCGCACTCTTGTCTTTTCGTCGGCTCCATTATCTTGTCTTAATAGTATTTGAGAAGAATTGATCAGCACTTTGGTGCCTCCTGTGGTTGTACCGGTACAACACCTGCTTCCTTCAACAATAGTGACACTGTCATTGGTCATTGGTTTTTCGGCATTCGGCATCATCAATCCACTACTACACCGTACTAGCTACTAGGAACCATCATCATGTATCCTCAACGCGAGACGCGTGCGTCACGAAACGACTTTGACTATAGACATGAAGATGATTGCCACTATGAATACGACCACGCCAGAGGAAGACACACCTTGGTGAGGGGGTCCAATCCAGACGTCCCAAAGTACTCCTGGAAGTGTATCTGCTGTAACTTGATAGACATCCTGATATTCGCTGGATGCATTGCCTTCCTGTTTTTTGCTATTCGATATGCTCTTTATTGCTTGGAAAACAGTGACGGTGGAGATTAATTAAAATAAGATGCTGTGTTTGTCAGGTACAGATCACCGCTGAAACCTGAGAACGATGAATCGAATCTACACACAATCTATTCAACAATGCATGTACATGTGCAATCTACCAGCGACCAGGAGCACCCAAGTGAACTGGCGTCTTTTCAACAAGACCAGAAAAAACAGAGATGGGTATGGTAGGATTCTCATTTGAATCGAATCTAGGGACTAGTCCCCTGTGGATATGTACCATCTTCATACGCCACAACCAACAACGATGCTTTACGGGTACCCTGTCTGTCCACCAGCTGGCTGCAGAGAAAGAACCAAGTTGGCTGCTCTGGATCCACCAGCCCTTCAACAAAGAGCCCAGCAACTTGCAACCCAATTCCCAGGAAAGAAGTCACTATGAAATCTTTTCTATCAGCACAACGACCTTCAATAAGAGCAGATGTTGAGTGTGCTCGTTGGATTCTCACTTCTTTCAACATTTTATCCCTCTGTTCCTGTCATCAGACTGGTATGGGCCAGATCTGCCTGGCTTTTCGATCGTAAAAGAGTCCTAGCTATTTTAAAATGAAAGCGCCTCTAATTCGAGAAGACAATCGGACAGGAAGGAGATTACCCTTCCTTCGTCGTCGCCTTGAAAAATTTACTCGAATCCTTGCTTGCTTCTGATTCGTAATAAACCCTTACAGTTTTGCTTTTCGCCTACTAAACCAATTCCCTTCTGCATCGAGTAGCAAAACAAATGTTCTATAGAGACAAGATATATGCAATTTAAAGTGTGTAGTGAATGGTGCGCTTTCACGTGTTTGCACCGAATTCATTCACAATCTCCGAGTCCATTCGTCAGTTCAGTTCGTCTTCTTTTCTCCTTGCGCGTATTGTCAACTTTTTCTTTCGCTGCTGCTTTAATTTTAGGCCAATACGTCCACTCCACCCTTTTCTACAAAACCTGCGAGCCACTCCTTGCTGGCTCCAGTGGGTCCGTAAAATTGCTTGGCAGCACCACGGAAAAGGACAAGCTTTACCGTTTCTCCAGTGGCGTCAACGATGGTTCCAAGAGCATCATCAAATGGCATACCATGTACTGGTTTGGTTCCCACGGACACTAGTTGATCTCCTTCCATGAGGACCCCGTTGGTATCCGCGGCACCTCCTTCCTTGATGGACTGAACAAAGATTCCACCAAAGTCATCATCATTTTCTTCAAAGACAATTCCCATTGGTTTGGTCAGTTCCACTGCAACATAGTTTGATTCATCCATCGAGTCCACAAAATCAGACGGAACTGCTGCAGCTAAAAATAGAAGAGAGCAATATGGAATAAAGCAGAGGGTTAGATCAAAGAACGGCAAAGGCTACCCAAATCTTCAGCTGACTGTCTTGCAGGCACTGGGGACCGTGTACTTTCTCTGGACAAAACGCTGGGACCTACGTACCAGCTTCTTCTGTTGCGGCTTCATCTTGTCGAGCCACACTCCATCCCATCCATCTGTCAATGGGGGTTTCTCGTTCCGAATCCAGGGTAGATCGCTCCAATGCAGGTGCACTAAAGGCATCTTTTACTCCATCAAAAAGACCCATCTGGAGCTCTGTTGACTGCCGAGAAAAAGCAGGTTGGCTGGTGAATCCGCTGGCAACGCCGAGAAGGGTAACACTGGTAATTGCTCGTGTAGTTCTCATGTTGATTTGCGTTTTAGTTTTCAAGGGGTAGACGGATTATGGCAATACCTATGTTGCTTTCCTGGTAGCTAGCTCTAGTTGTTACTCAGTCGTAGCTGTGTCAGATGCCAGCACAGTTTTAATGCCTGTCACCTGATCGCTTCACTTGTGTATTGAAAACAAGCAGCTGGGTCTACACTCTGACTTGTCGTTCTCACTCACTCTCAGGCCACAACCCTGTTACGCAGTTGCGGTTGCTCAAATCAGGTTGGTTGCTGACGACATGGAAGCACTCAGAAATCCTTGCATTGTTCGTGCGTCGTCCGCGATGACGTGTTGTTTGGGAAGTCCCGCCAAGATCAAACGATATTTCCTTAGAGCTAAGGCTAAACACCAGATCTGAGGGCTTATAGAAAGGAACTTGCTGCAAACGACGGCAACAACAACAAAGGGTATCGTTATCATGACGCAGGAGCAGGAGAAAGATAACAAATGACAACGCGCAGTATTCGACAAACTGGAGTACGGGAATAATAATGTAGGAAGGGATAAATTATCCCAGGCTAGTCTGTTGTAATAGAGTTTTTGGCCAAATCAAAGACTTAGCTGGAAAATGTTTCGAAATGCCGATGATCGGATGAAGACGTGCGTCTAGGAACTTGGCAAAGCCCAAAGCAATTTTTTGGAACAAACTGCAGCTGCTGTTGTCTGTTTACAGCTGTACCAGGTGGGATCGTGCTGTTGGTGGATTTGTGCCATGAAAAATTAGCATTTTCCATTTGTTGTTTTTACCATGAAGCTGTTGCCGCCAACAATATTTTTTTGGAACCAGTAGCATGTTGTCGTTTCGACGCTTTCCTCATCCTCACTAATAGCAGTTCAAATATTGAGGATAGCAACAGAGATCCATCTTGGTACTGGGGTGGAGTTGGACCTGCAAAACTCCTCTTTTCCTGGACTTTCCTCCGACTTGGCAGAATTTTTTTAAAAAGTCGACAAGTGACGAGTGGAGTCGACGAGTGACTCAGTCAAGTCGATCAACTCGTTGACTTTTCAATAATAGCAGTCCATTTTTGAGAAAGCAACAGAGATCTTTGGTGGAGTGGAGTTGAACTGCAAACTCCAATATTGCATTTTCAATGAGTCGAGTCCTGCTTGGCTCTCCAAAAATATCTGACACCAATGATCGCGAAAAGGCTTCAGGCTCTGGAGGTCCGGAAGATCTTCTGCTCTGGTGTCAACAAAATAGATATCAATCTGGTTGACAGCACTATTCTCAAATCCAGGGGAATCTTGGGATCTTGGGTGTCCACACCAGGCACTGGGGATCGAACTGTGGCGAATCAAACGTCCAATGAGATTGGCTGATGCAGCAACCATGGAAAATGATCAAAATTTTCTGTAGTTTTGAGGCCGAGAATGATAGGTATCTCCAATTGCAGAGATCCATGCTTTTTTCTTGATGGTCTGGTTTGCCTTGTTAGGAATCATGGGGCGAGTTTCTCCAGCCATTATGCACCTTGGGGCTGCATAATGATACCCTCTAGAACAACCTGAAAAAATGTTCTTGCCCGTTTTTGACATGTGGTCCAATGTTTGGTCCTGTTGAAACTCCCATGTAGGAAATGATGGAACTTCGCCCCATGTACGTAGAAAATGAGGTTTTCTCCCACGCAGAAGCATGATGCATTTCTGAAGGTTCCCTGCCCACTGCCAACCCCCTTCCCCCCTGGCTCGAAAAAATCATCCATGCTGAATGCTCTCGGCTTCTCTGCAGGGATTCGCTGCACTTCAGCTTGTGATACTGAAGCTGGAAGATGGGCAATACATGCATTCATCCCGCCGTGGGAAGCTTCGAACGGTGTGCTCCTGGTGCGCCTTTTGCTGTCAAAGCGCAACAGAGATTAGCTTCGTCAACCCGAATCTAAAGACCAAACAGGTGTACGCTGGGAAACCGAAAGAATGGCAAACTCACCATTCGCTACACAGAAAAATTCAGCCTATCAAGAAACAGCGCACAAGTAGACAGAATGATCATACATGATGTAGACACCAGACAACAACGTAATCCTAGCTACACGTTGCTGTCGTTGTGCAACCATCCACGTCGCCCATCCCGGTCAACTTCGCAGACTCGAGTCCTCAGAAATGCAACATCAACCACTTTCAGGGCACATCAACCACTTTCAGGGCACACTCGTTTGCGGGGTGGGTCCCCGACCGTTTCCTTGCGGGCCAACGACGGCGAAGGAGAGCGATCGCGTTCTCGCGCAGGTCTTGCGGACATGCACGATTTTCTTCGTCCTCTTGTTCAAGTCTCAACTTTGCACGCCATGTTCAGCGGCAAACATGTCAACCAGCACGGGAGGTCTCCGGGCTCCGCCGTTTGTTGTACAAGTCACCATGAGCGGGAAATTGGCTCAGATGCGGGCTCGTTGCGGGATTACCCGGATGCTCGATTTTTGCCCGGGAGGCCAGTTTTGAAACGAAAATACCATCATGGCCACGAAAACAATCCTTTGACCAAAACAACCGGGGAAAATACAGAGCACAAAACCTAAGGCTTCAATGGACAACCCATGGTGCCACGTCGTACCAAGTCGTCAATGCAGAGCTCGGCAAAGTCCGAAACAAAGGAAACAAGCTGCCATTCCTAGACAGCAGCTTCTCTTTTATCAAAGATGATGAGGAGAGACGAAATGTTGAAGTAAGCAACAGCCCATGGATATATCAACCTCATTACTGATTTTTTTAGTTGTCTTGGACGACCAATGCCGACCCGTACATTTTTCTAAACTATGATGCCAATAAAGGTATCTTTTATCGGTGAGGTGAGGAAATTCCGTTCCGCGAACCTCAATCGTGAAGTTGTGGTTTGGAGAGCTTTATGAATCCTTACGAGGGTTTTTATCATGCATATTCTCAAAAATGCAGACACTATCTAATATAGTAGACCCATTATAGCATTGTTAAGGGATTAGCCTCAATCAACCAGCAGAACACGAGCTGGACCAAAAACATTGTTTACCTCACCCCCCGGTAACACCCTCACGTGGATCTCGTCGAGTTGACACCACACATCAACTCGCTTAGCCACGCACTTGACACCTTTGTTGTCAACTGTTTTCTCCCCAAAGAGATCCGTACATCCAACCAAACAAGCTAACCTAATGCTCACAATTTCGCCTCAGGTCGAATCCAAAACACTCCAAAAAGCATCTTTCTTTGCAAAGCTATCCTTCAAACTTTCAACATGAAGTTCTCCGCCATTGCCCTTTTCGCCCTCTTTGGAGCTGCCGCCGCCGGAAGACCCAATCTTTCCGTACGTTCTGTGTTGCTCCTATCTTTTTTGTTGTTCTAATCGACCCACCACTCACACATTCATTGTCCGCAACCCAAACAGATCTCTGTCCGCGATGGAAACTTTGACGGCCTTGATGGACTCGACCCCACTGTCTCCTGGGAGAACAGTGCGCAATCCGGTGACATGGACATCTCCTATGGAGTGGAAGCTTCGGCTCGCCCAACCAGTGACATTGCTTCCCTTCCCCGCAAGATCTGGGGCAAGGCAAGCACTGACATCTCCGGATGGGGAGTCTCAGCACGTGCCGATGTCAACCCACAAGACTTGGACTCTGCTGATATTGAGCTCAATGCCGAAAACGAAGACAATGACCTCTCTGTCAACCTTGTTGCCAGCGCAGGAAAGGATTTCGCCGTGAGGTCGGTTGAGGCAACCAAGGGATTGGACGCCAACGGCGCCCGTGTTACTGTCACCCCCCGATTCAACTTGGAGGACGACTCCAGGGATGTTGTCGTCAACTACAGCAACGACAACACGGATGTCAAATTGACTGCCTCTGCCGACGCTCAAGAGGTTACCGTCTCCCAGAGGCTTGACGACGACAACCGTGTCGCTCCCACCATCAACAGCAACGGAGATCTTAGCGTAGAATGGGAACGCCGCCTTGGAGATGACAGCTCCCTCACCGCCACTCTCAAGCCCAATGATAGCCTTGATGTTGAATGGAAGGATGATGCCTGGACCGCCAACGTGAACATGCCCATTGATGGAGCCAACATCAACGGAGCCAATGTCAGCATCAAGCGTGATGTCAACTTCTAAGTCTTTTTTCTTTTTCGGTAACTTGTTCAATGGTAACAAATGTATTTTTTCAACACAAGACTGGTCTTTTATGTAGCTACAACCTCCAATGCTCCATCCCAACCAGCTAGACTAGCTACCGGTACGTTACGGCGTATCATGAAACTTGCCCCAAATTGCTCCGTTGAAGAAAGTTGCTTCTGTGAAGAACCCTAATGAGTACATGGTCCACAAGTGCGTGGACTGTCCGTCCCATCTTGGCCGCACAGGCGGAGCTGCACCGACAAGGGGCGAGCTAGCAACTGACAAGCAAAAGATGAACTCGTATTAATAGACCTGTGTGGTCGCTGACTGCGGGTACTGGCAGTGATCTTCCTTGCGGCTTGGAGTGATGGAGTGGGGGAGCTCTAATGAATTTTTGGAACTGGTCCCAAAAATTGATTTGGATTCGATTTACCCACCACTCGAATCGTCACCTCTGTCGGTATTACCGTACCGGTACTAGCTAGTATGCATACCGGTACCGGTACGGTAGGGTACTGTCGGGTACCGGCACAGGAGTCTTCCTCGACTCCCAGCCACCGCCTCAGCTGTCCGCAATCTGGTTGGCATGGGCAGTTCACTAGGACTATTCAGGTACGACCAAATACACCTAGAGTATGTAGTGTCGAAACGATAGTGCTAGAGTTGGGGAACAACGGTGATATCCAGTGCACCAGTGCACCGAGCCAAAACCGTTGGAACCCAACATTGAACTGAGAAGCCCCTTAAAAAAAAAGGACACCATTGTCCTCTTCCTTTGGTGGCTGCTCAGAGCAATGAGTGGCTCCTAGCACTATCTGCAGTGGCAGCCAGTCTAATTGGAGCATGTGTGCTACCACATTGCTCCGCTTAGAGTCATGGCTACAGGAGTCTTCCTCGACTCCCAGCCACCGCCTCAGCTGTCCGCAATCTGGTTGGCATGGGCAGTTCACTAGGACTATTTAGGTACGACCAAATACACCTAGAGTATGTAGTATCGAAACGATAGTGCTAGAGTTGGGGAACAACGGTGATATCCAGTGCACCAGTGCACCGAGCCAAAACCGTTGGAACCCAACATTGAACTGAGAAGAGCGCATGTGCTGACGAACAGCGTGTCGCAGACACGATGCCGAAAGCCCCGTGTAAACTGAGTCAGCGGACACCCGGAGTGGTATACAGTGGGATTGTAAACCACCTTTACTATAGGTGTAAACCCACGAAAGAAAGAGGCGCGCAAAAAGATGCGAGCCAACATACAGTACGAGGGAATGAAGACTGAAATTTAAAAGTTAGGCCACTGGATTGACAAAAAGTAGCCAGTTTACACTCGTGGAGGAGGAGGAGCCAGATGCAAAGGGCGACTAAGGCAATCACAACAAGCCAAGTAGCTTTTGAACTGGGGATCCATTGCAATGAGTCAAGCTCAATCTCTGACACAGGTGCCTGGTCAGGTACCTGTCAGGTACCAACCTGTCAGGATATCAAGGGCTGTCACTGAAACGTGCGGTGTGGATGTGTAGTCTGTGTGGTGTAGCAGTGTAGGCTGGTTACCACCAACACCACCTGGACAAAAGTCTCGCGGCGCGCCAAGTCATCATTGGATGGAAGACTTATGGAGCGGAGCAAAGACTTAGAGGGTAAAGTCAAAGACTTAGAGGCCCCATGTTCTTTTCAAGCATCGACTTTGCGCAAAGGACTTTTCAAGCATCGACTTAAAAAATTCGAAAGCATGAATGAAAACATATCACGGAATGTGACGTCATCGACTGACGTCACGGGAAACTGACGTCACGGGGGACTGACGTCATCGCGAATCGGAGTCGGATTTTGGATTTTCAAAGCGGGGATGACGACCAAGTCACTTGTCCGAAGACATAGGAGCCACCAATCTTGCCAAGAGCGCAAGACTTAGGGGGCGATCCGTGGGAGACTTAGAGGCGCTCCGGCGAAGACTTAATGGCGTGGCTGTTGTTGTTGTTGAAAATCGCGAAGAAATCGCGAAGATCGACCATGATCCTAGAGTCAGACGCATGGCGACAACGGCAGCACCAGTTCCAAGGCCAGTTGGCCGAGAAAGCAACACCAGAGCCAGTTGGCCGAGGAAGCAACTCCAGGGCCAGTTGGCCGAGGAGGGGAGTGAAGCACCAGGTGGTGTCGCTCAAGAGGGGAGTGAAGTACCAGGTGGTGTCGCTCAAGAGGGGAGTGAAGCACCAGTTGGTGTCGCTCAAGAGGGGAGTGAAGCACCAGGTGGTGTCGCTCAAGATGGGGCTAGCGAAACACCGGGCGGTGAACGCATCATGGCCGAGGAAAAGGATCGATCAGTCATCGGCCGAAAAGCACAACAACGCGAACGTCTGGTCATTCAACGAATAACAGAGCTCCTGCTATCAGACCGACAGCTGAGAGCAGTAGCAGTAGCAGTAGCAGTAGCAGTAGCAGTAGCAGTAGCAGTAGCAGTAAGCAGTAGCAGTAGTAGCAGTAGCAGTAGCAGTAACGACGGCGGACCAGTAGCCGTAGCGAGTAGCCGTCCGAAAAGGGAAAAAAAAGGACACCATTGTCCTTGTTGGAGGTTGTATTACAGACACCTCAATACAAATTAGTCGTTTATCCCAATCTAGTTTATAGGGGATATCTATATCTATTCTCTAGTTACATACATGGGAGTTTAACTGATCTATATGGTCACCCCCTTCACTATATCCTTTGAAGTTGAATCAATCCAGAAAACATGGAGAAAGATCACTTCTTGAAATAGCTTAACAGTAAAACAGTATTTTACCTTTACTAGCTGCTAAAGAACTACAAAAAAACACAAAGAAGTGTATTTTACCTTTACTAAGCTAGAGTGTTACTAGCAACCAACACTATTTCCAAGAAGCTCTCTTCGAGATTTCGCCAATGGCATCTCGACATTGACTCTATCCTATTACATGATATCCAAGTCTATGCCAAGGTAAACAGTTCAACGAGCAGTTCAGGCAGACAGTGCCGAGCCCCACTATAAGGGCTACCAAAACAGCTCAACAGGCAAAGCTCTGATTCAATCGAACTGACTGACTACGGTACAGGTACACTCGTACACGAACGATTGAACACTACAACGATCAACCGGAATCAGCGCAATCGGTTTATACCACGTGAAAGAACATCACTAACTACACCACTTTCATGCTTGAACCAAGGATCCGAAGCAAAGCTAGTGAACGATTGCAACGAAAACGCCAAGCTCACAGGAGTGAGCGAGCGATAGCTCACAGGAGTGAGCTCCGGAGCAAGAAAACGGCAGCTCACAGGAGTGAGCAACGAGGCGAGAAGGACCAGCGCCGCAGAGAGCGCAGGCAACCAAGACTCTGAGCTGCGGAACTCAGCCATCGTACGACTACACCAGTACAAAAACCAACTACAAGAGGACTCACCCATCCGCACGTTCGACGTTTGAAGTGCAGGAGTGGTGAACCAAGCCAAGCTATCCAGCTAGCTACCACGACGAGTCCAACAAGCGAACGACGGCTCCCAGTGTGACGAACTGGAGCCAAGGGTATACCAAGTACTGTATGGTACGGAGCAGACGAACTACTGTCGAAGCTAACAAGAGTGACACGAAAGCTAGTGTCAACCTGAAGAAGAGCAACACGGAGAGAAGTGTTGCCACGAAGAGGAACTGGATAACAAGCCCCAACAGGAAGAACCACAGAGGTACTTCCGTGGGAGTGCTCCTATCCTCAACAAGAGAGCCATCGAGTTTGCTACTAGAAGAGAGGTGCGACGGAACAGAAAATTCCAACGCACAACAAGCCATCTTACCAGGCCGATTACTCGGCAACCACAGGTCCTACAAGAGGACTGTCATACACAGAAGTGGGCTACTATACAGCCACTGACAGGCCCTCAAGAGTGCAAGCACTCGAATCGACCTCAGAGCGAGTTGCATCCATCGGCAACAGGCTGGATAAGAGCAAAAGTCAACGAGCGACCAACACTAGTCGCTACGGCGACAACAAGAACAAGAAAATCCAGTCAAACGACCGAAGCAACAGCGACCGCGATCGGTACTAGCTACAGCTGTACCAGCAATTGCTACTGCTACGTCGAACAAGATCAGCGAGCAATCGCTGCTACTAGCCAGTCGCCACTGCTACAACAACAAGAGCCTGCTACTGCCACTGCCGAACAACAGCAGCAGGATCGACAGCGCCATTGCGTCGATCGAACAGCAGAAGAAGAGTGCCGACAGCAGAAAGCAAATCTTTGTTTTTTGTGAGGAAATCGCTGACAGCAACCATGCAGTTCCACGGAACGGCAAAGAACAGCCTGCAGTTCAGCGAGCAACCACAAGAAAGCAAAGAAGCCACTGAACGTCACAACACTGGGAATGAAAAACTCTGCAGAAACGCCCTTTTTGAGTCCGCAGAAACACTTTTTTTCCTGAAGCAGGCTGGCGTGCACTCTGCAGAAGCCTTTTTAGAGTCTGGGTAATGGACAGTTAATGGGGTTCTCGTTTGCAGGAGAGACGTTAGGGCTTAGGTCCAAAGTGTGCCATGGAATTAATGTCAATGATGTCATCGCAAGCCTTGAGATTTCAAAAAGAGACTGGCTATTTATTTGCTGCTAGTTTCGTCCCGCCTGCCCGGTATCCATCTCTAAGTAATGTCAAGCTGCACAACGATAATTGCTCCAGAAAATCTTCTGCCAAACAATGAATCGACTCTGCGAGCCATTCTTGTGCAGTTTCCTAGGTGCTTTTGGCAGAAAAATATGCAACAAACACTCCTGGCAGAAAAAAAAACCTCCTGGCAGAAAAAACCTGGCAAAAAAAACACCTCCCGGCAGAAAAGCCATGCCGGCTTTCGGAACTGCAGAGTTCGCG